TTTCAAGTTTGTCCTTCCAAAATGAATCACCTCACACTTTTCAGGTTTAAACTCCATCTGCCACTTCTCAGCCCAGCTCTGCATCCTATCAATGTCCCTTTGTAACCTAGAACAGCCCTCCGTAGGTAGGCAGGGAGTTGGGATGGGGGTTGGTCAGTGCGGAGGGAGGGGCGGATTGGTGGGAGGGAAGACAGACAAGTCAAGGAGGTGGGGATGAAGCTAGTAGAGGTGTGAGTGTAGGTAGGAGGTGGGGGTGGGGTGGGTGGTGCATGAACGGAAGTGGGTGCCAGAGGCTGGTGCAACTGCAATATTTAATTAACATTGTACCTGTATGGGTACATGAATAGGAAGAGTTTAGGGATATGGTTCAAATGCTGGCAAATGGGACTCGACCAGTTTAGGATATCTGGCCAGCATGCACGAGTTGGACCAAAGGGTCTGTTTCCATGCTGTATAACTCTATGACTTTAGACTGATTTAGACAATTCAGAACACTAAGATTATAGCAGAACAAAGACATAACAGTTGCAACAAGCTTTCAACTTAATAGTGATTAACAAAAGCTTTATGGTAAAATAGTTTATTTCACTTATGCATTGAGGAAAATGCATGCCATTCCGCTTTCCAAAGGAAACAATTGCAATATGCAAACATTTAGTTAGACTGAGTTCTTACAAAATGACCAATTCAGCGATTGTTCAAGAAGGGTAAATCAACAACTGGTTTTACAAGAATTAAAAAAGAAACTTCTCCTTTTTAAAAAAAAATCAAGAAGAATTTACTTTAAAAACACCTTTAGCTTGATTAAGATTATTTACAATATTTTACTTTGTGACTAGAGAAAATTAAAATTTTCCTTGGATATGTTCTTTTTCAACCATCATTGTATTTCTATCTCAGTATGTGTGCTTGGTCTGTCATGTGACAGGTACAGCAACACATCATTCTGATATTTTAAAGATGATACGAATTAAGATAGCAAGATATCTCCATCATTAGTATTTTTCTATGGTATCCATTAGCTTTCTTCAAAAGGACACAACCCAACTTTCCAATTCCAGACAGTTTATGGGCAGGCTGACATACCTACTATTAAGTGATTCTAATGTGCAAAAGACAAATACTGGAGCTTAATCAGCCAAATCAGCTCATCACCCCATTTATTAAGGCATTGGTTTGAAGAGTTGCATGTAGCCAAACGGGAAGAATCCAAGCACTCAATAAAACGTCTACCAAACTGGTTGATTAATGGTGTATCCTGGATTATGACAGATATACCTTCAGGTAACTATTTACGACATAGGACTGATACAAATTCAAATTTTCATCAGTAAGAACTTTCATCATGGAGTCACCTGGACTCAAAAGAAATATAAGCTCACCTATCTACCTTGCATCGCCCAAGGAACATGATCCTTAAATGGTTGAGACATTTGATTGCAGAGTTAAGGCCAACATGCTTTTGACTCAGGGTGTTAAAACTCTTTGCTGTCATTATTTCCTCCTAAGAGGCACTATCTCAACTACAAATGAGTACCAAGAGTCTTTGGAAATCACTACATGAAAAAGCTGGCAGGATCTCAATGTCAATTTTGGAAAAGTTGCGAAAACTGGCCAGGGATGACTATGCTTTTACAAAACACTAATTTCACCACATGTACCATAAAATTACTGTATTAAGTAGATTTCTGCATTTCCAAGAAGGATATACAAAAGACAATAGAATTTAATCTGTAAACTTATTACATAGAATACTTTCTAATGACAATAATTACTAGTAATTACTATCCTCAAGTTTTAGAAAAACAAGTCTACACAACTTCATTCTATGTCAATAAACGTCAGACATTTCTACAGAATGTGTACATAATTTGGTTGAAGTCATATTTGCATGCAAAAATAACAAAGAGAAGTCTTGATCTCTAAGTAATTCCACTTCTTGGGAAATGAGAGGCCGTTTTACCCTGGCAATAAAGGATGCATTTCGCTTTCAGATAAAATGGGCATTCCACAAGCTTTTAACTTAATTTCACTCTAAGACCAATAGACTTCCCAAGCTGTTTGTTAGGACTTATTTTTTGCTGTTGAGATAGGACCAACACTGATAAAGTCGGGGTTCATTGCCAATTCTGCACAGCCCCCAAAAAGCTATGGCTGAGCTGGCTTTTCCTATTGCTATTATCCACGTGGCATAGGTACACCCCACGGTGCTGTTTGGAAGAGAATTCCAGGATTTTGACTTGGTGACAAAGTTCCAAGTCAGAATAGTCTTTCACTCAGTGTAAAACCTACAGGTAGCAGCATTCCAACACATATGCTACCCTTGTCCCCTTAGGCAGTAAAGATGCCAGGCTTCAAACATTATGGCACAGGAACCTAAGTTGCTGCAGTCGACCTTAGAGATGGTACACACTACCACCATTGTATATTAGTGGTGGAGAAAATCAGTGTTTGAGGTGGAGCGTGATAACATCCAGCATGATGCTGATGGTTTGGGTGGCAGAGAGTGGTTTAATTTAGCAATGGTAGTAATGAGGATGTCCAAAATGTTAGAGATGGTCTTTGCCTGGCACTTGTGTTACTCAAATGTTATTTGCCACTTAGAAGCCCAAACCTAAGTGTTATCTGGCTTAGAGTAGACAACTACGATATTCATCTCATCTTTTTCCATTAGAAAGGATTTGTTAACTTATATTTACCCAATGCCTTTATAAAACAGGACCACAAAAACTGACAGCCAGTCAAACGTTAAGCAGCACGGTGGCTCAGTGGTTAGCACTGCTGCCTCACAATGCCAGGGACCCAGGTTCAATTCCAGCCTTGCATGACTCAATGTGTAGAGCTTGTACATTCTCCCCATGGTTTCCTCCAGGTGCTCCGTTTTCCTCCCACAGTCCAAAGATGTGCGAGTTAGGTGGATTGGCCATGGGAAATAGCCCATAGTTTCCAGGGATGTGTAGGTTAGGTGGATTAGCCATGGGAAATGCAGGGTTACAGGGATAGGATAGGGGGTTGGGTCTGGGTGGGATGCTGTTTGGGAGAGTCAGTGCGGACTTGTTCGGCCGAATGGCCTATTTCCACACTGTAGGGATTCTGTGGAGTTAGTGATAATGATGTATTACTTTAGAAGCTTTACTTATTTGCTTTATCTTGCCAGCTAACTTAAAAAACTGGCACCCCAACAATTACAATGAACATATTGCAAAATTGGATCAATTTTTTTCTTTTTACAGACATCCAATAGTTAGTTTGGAGTTTTTCAAAAAAAAAGAATAATTGGCAGTTTTTGCATCCAGTTTTTCTATTATTGTGGTGCCCAAATGTTGTGCTGATTTATGCAAAATTTAAACTGTGACATTGTGTGAAGTCTCTATAAAGTGTAACATCCGACATGTAAACGACAGAGAACCATTCTGTTTTTAAGCTTTAGGAGGTACAATTATGTTACAACAATCTGTATATTTTCAAGACAGTGAGGTCAAAGTTCTGTCAGCATGTAGCAAGGAATTTGATACAGTGCCACACAACTGACTTGTGGGAAAAGTTTAGCTCTTGGAATAAAGGGAACAGAGATTCGGAATTGGCTGAATGACAGGAAATAGAACAGTGATTCATGGATTTACAATGGAGGAAGATGCATAAGGAAGCTCCCCAGGAATCAGTGTTGGGATTTCAAAGCTTATGAATAACATGAAACTTAGCAGCATTGTGAACCGTGAGCAGGATAGCTTAAAAGGAACAAGTTGATGGAATAGGTGTGGAGATGGCAATGAAGTCAATGCACAGATTTTCAGTGAGTCATTTGGTGGGAGTAACATGGAGAAACAATTGAAAATAAACAACACCATCTAAAGGAGGTGTAAGTGTCAGAGCTGAGGGACCCGTGTACCTATGTACAGAAGTCATTGAAGGTGGCAAAATAAGATGAGAGTGTGGTTTAGAAAACACACAGTATTTATGACATTATTAATAGAGACACTACATGGAGGAACAAAAAGTTATGTATAACTTGTTTAAAACCCTGATTTACACAATTCTCCAGGAGTGTGTCCAGCTCTGAGCAGTGCACTTGGCAGGGCACTAGAGAGAAAGAACGATTCCAGGGCTGAGGGCTTCAGTTATGAGAAAAATTGAAAATGTTGGGAAGACACAACAGAGGATACTTGATAGAAGTATTCAAAGTCACGAGGGATTTGGGCAGAATAGATAAGGAGAAACTGCTCCCATTCATGGGAGTACCAGAGACAACAGGGCACAGACTTTAAGTAATTAGCAAAAGAAGCCAAAGTAGAGGGAAATACTTCTGCACAAAGCAAGATCTGGAATGCACTGTTCAATTGAAGTTCAAAAGGAATTAGATTTATTTGAAAAGAAGAAATGCACAGGGTTAAGAGGAGAATTTGGGGGATGGCTACACACAAATTTCTCAGTCAGAGGGCCACTGTAGACATGAATAATCTCCCTCTGTGTTGAAAGAAATTCTATGATTTTGTGATCAATTAACATGCTTCCACTTAATTGATATGTAGAGTACAAAGAACTGTCATGTCCTAGCAGTTTGAAGATATTCCCAAAAATCTGAATAATAAAAGCTGAAGTCAGCAGCTTAGAAAAAAAAGGCAACAAAATTAGAAACAAAATTTCATAAGTTTCAATTATAAAAAGCAAAACATACACAATAAACCAAATATACTTGACTCAAATAAAATTTACATTGTAAAACAGTAAATTTGTCACATTTCTAGAATTATGAATACTAAACTTTCAGTAAACAGAGTTTTGCTTTGGTACAAGCTGCAGTGAATTATTCTCGATTGTGACATTTCACAAATTTTGTATTTATTATGTTTACAATAACCACTTCACTTACTCTGTCCAAGCTTAAAATTTGTAATGATTGACAAAAGTCATGCTAGTAATAAAAAAAATCTCCCACTTCTCTTCACGTTCTCTATGAAAAAAAAGTCCATCAAAAGCCTTTCATAAACTTTATAACTTACCATTGTAGCAGGATTCCAGGTAGTAGTAGGAGCAAGCTTTGGCTGCCAGTTGGTTCCTCCAGTCAACTTCTTTTCCCCAGGCTGGTTCCAATGAAGATCACTTCTTAGGCAAAGGATAATCATTTAATCAATGGTTCTCCACGTGGGCGTATTAATCAGGCATCACAATACATTCATGCACATTGGTTCAATCAAATAACAGACCAAACTAAACAGCAGGCAAGTAAAATTGTATAGGCCCCTTGAGGCAAAGGAATTGTAGCCACAAAACTAAATTGAAGCCAAACTTTTCACAGAACATCGTCTCTTCACCTCAGTGATAATTATGTTCAAGCAAAAGATTGCTCTGCCTTAGCTTTAAAGATCATTGATGCAGGCTAGCATCAAAATTGGTTTCAAACTATTCTTAGTGTCCAGTGGGTACATAGATTTTATAAACTCTTGCCATGGACAGTGTTGCTAAGTAGCATCAAGGCTGTTCCTTGAGTAATATACTTTTATAACCAGTCCCATGGACAGGTGTGTTCAGCAAATCCTGTAATGCAATGACGATCACAAACTCATCTCAACAAATAATGAGACTTGGAACGTGTCACTGGATTCAGACTGCTGGACACTGCACACAGTTGGATAAAATCAAGTTTAAAAAAATTGTGGGTAAAGCTCCTGGGCATAGTCATCCACGAAGAAAGGTAGAATACACAAAGCCTAATTTTAATATATTGACAGTGAGACTAGGTTTTTGGCATTTTATTTATCAATTTTAAGGTGTCTTTTTAAAAGGTTGTTTCTTTGTAATTACGATTCAAGCAACTGAAAATTTAAAAGTAGAAAGGAAACACACAAACCAAGATCAAAAATAGCAACCCATTGACTGAAATTGAATTTAAAACCGTGTAAGCTAGAATCCACAAACTGAGATTCTGCTGGCAAGTCACTAAAACATAAAATGGACCACACTTGGATATTATATGGTACATTCCCCTAATCAGCTGAAGTGCCACTCTACGTCTTTTTTTGAAAACAAGTCAGTATTCATTTTTTGTATTTAGCAAGCGGTATCAAGTACTTTGAGACAATTTTAAATGTCTTTGTGATCACTTACCAAGAGATGTAAGATACAATAATGATCCAAGTACTAAAGGATTTGGGCTAGTTAAAAAATATTTAACTAAAAACATGCTTTCAGGGTTCCATCATTAATGCTTCAATTTGTGTACACACAGTAAGTCACGCAGGTTCAGTAGATTGCTGCATTGAAAAGCCGCCAAAAAGAATCAGTTTCAGTTGTTTTGATAAACATGCATTAAGATTGTTCTTACTTTTTTGTGGATCCATTTCCAATTCCCAAGTCTGCAATATATGAAAATAATTTGCATTACTTAATTTTCACTTATCAAACACTGATAAGGGCATATCTGCATGCAGTGAAAATACTTACTGCCTACAAGGTTGGCCAACGATGAATCCAAATCTTCTCCTACAAGCTTGCCTGGTTGCTCCTTTGCAAGTGGCTGAGACTGATTCTGCAAAGCTATTGTTGGTTTCAAGAGTCCACCTAATCCATCAAAGTCTTTGGAGGTCAGTAATGCAATATAATTAGAAAAAAAAATTGCTGGCACAACACTTAGTACTCAACCTTTCAAACTTTATTGGTAAAATGTGAAGTCCCAACTCACCCATTTAAGCATGCCAAGCAAAGCCAAGGACCCATATGTATGGATGGTAGGAAAAAAAAAAGATTAGAATAGCATAATATGTTTGTAAAACAAGCCATAAAATACAACTAAAGCATTACATTTGTACTGATTATATACTGACAAGAGGATTAAAAAAAAAATAATAGTTTGATACTGCTTTCAGCCATACTTGAAAAATATCCAGTGTAGCAACATGCAGGAATAGACCAATAGTACTGCATGCAAGAAAAAAAGGACTGGACAAGATAAAATGAAAGATATGCAAATATGCTTGATGATTATTAAATAATTTTCTGGCAGTGTTTCAAATACATGTTCATATACCATTAAAACTCTCAAAATTATTTTTATACAAGGTTTAAAAGTAAAACTAAGACATAGGTAGCCCTGACTAAGAAACACTCGCTCCTCCACATGCCCTAAAACCTTCACTGTATTCTCTGTACAATAACTGAAGTTTCATTATTAACTGACTTGGAAAATAGATACCTCAACACCATTGTCACTTGAGCTAATTAAATTGGAACTCTAGATATTATTTAGCTTCTAATTTTTAGAAACATTGTCCACAATAACACATTTAAAAATAATAATTTTAAGATGTATTAATGTGGGCAGCAGTTATCAGAATGGGACATGATATCATTTTTAATAATTCCTTTGGAAAAGTATTGCAACAATTGTAAATTGTTTTGGTTTGAAATAATAAATTAAATGAGCCAAAGTTAATTTTATGATGTCCAATGTACCATTGTGCCTTTATTTTGGCTTGGTTACGTATCGCAATTTTTGGAAGTCATGTTCTCTGGATGCAAACAACAGCGGTATATGCACAATTCTTTAAAGCAAAGAGGTCAATAATTTATATTGTACATTTATCATGGACCTTCATGAAGAACAGATTATACATGCACAAAATCTCATCACCCACAGTGGCAGAGCAGGGCAATCAACTAGGAATTCCAATTTATAGAATGACATTGCCATATTTGGTCAGATTATTTTTCCCCAATCAATGGGGCATACAAAAAGTGATGTTTCAAACTGTAGTGTTCAACTGGAAGCAGCCAACAAACAATTCAAAGTAATTAAGCATTATAGATCCAATTAACACTCAATTAAAAGACTGAACAAAGGCTTACACATCAAAATAATAGAATCAGGACCATAGCTAATTGAAGTTCTATCCTTATTTACAGCGCTACCTGTTTCAATCTGCTGAAACTGCAGAGATCAGGAAGCCAATGATCACAGAGAAACTGTAGCTAAGCGAAGAACAGATCAGAGTGATGCACATCAAGGAGTCCCTTGGGGAAGTTGTCAGCACAACACGTTAAGGAAGAGACTGGGAAGTAGCAGTAAGACAGAAACACTAAACAATTTAACTTGTGGAAAATTTATCCGTTAAATAATTCCAAAATGCTTGCTAAATATGAGTGAACAAAATTTACCAGCTGGCTATCAATTATACATGGCTACTTTCTCTAGCCACTCCAAAAAAAAAACTTAACCAAAATTTTGTTCCCCCAATTAATTACTCTTTAAAAACTAAGATCAGCCTTCTATTTCCCATTATTCTCAATTTTATGCATTGACGGTCAAAATTGTGAGCAACTGAGAATTCACAAACTACTTTTAAATGGCGGTGAGGATAGTGCTAATAATCAACATTCAATCATGAACTGGCACCAGGAAGGCTCGGAAACGGGTCAAAATCTTAGTGTTGAAACTAAGCAACAGTAGTACAAACAGAAAATAGACACTCAATTTAGAAGTTTATAACACTCAGTTTGGTATCAAGTGAACCATACAGACAATAAGTAAACTAAAGCCTCCTCACAAGCATCTCATGAGTAATTCAATCAGGATCCTTAGAAAACAAGATCGTATGGACAAGTTCCAAACCATCTTAATTATAGTTAAAATAATCTTCATCTTAAGTCAGGATCTCTGAAAAGCTCATTACCTCCTGGACACAAACCTATTGCCAGATTATGAAATCAGCCAGTTATCCTATTAACTCAGGAGGCAAGTGGTTCAGTTCTTAAATGTTTTAAAGCAGACTAATTTCACATAGGTCTGCTCCAATCATGAACATAAAGTAATATCTGACTGTACCAGGCTAAATGCTATGCAGGCTTTGGTTACAACTTCACGAATTTTGATGGTTTGATTACGTTGAGCTCCTGTGCAGCATTCACAACAGAATCAATCCATCCTCAACACTACTCCATCAAATGAGACAAGTGTGCAGTTCCAAATGAAGCCTTGCATTCCAGAATGAGTGAGGGGAAATAAAATCAGCTGTGCCAAAGCACTTATTTTCTTTCCTAAAAGGAGGGGGATCCAGGTGATCCTCTCTCATAATCAAAGTTAGTGCTATTTGTTATATAAACTGGCAAAGAAAGAGGGTGATGGATGATATCATGGTGTAAAATGTTTTCCATTTAAATATTAGACGCCAATTTCAGTAAAAGGATTTGCATTAGCATACACAGAAAAATTATTTGATAAATTTGTGGCACTCCATATAACGAAGACAATATCCTTACCACCAGAATCAATGATGCTGTTGGTTGTGGAAGTTGATTTAGTCCCAAATACGGACTCAAAGTCAACATTAAGGCTTGTTGATGATGGTGCCTGAGTAGCTGGCGAGGGATTGAACCCTAAAAATACAACCAAGCATTGTTATTATAGACTGGATAATTCAATAACATACAAAAAATGGCCCTCATAATTCAGTTAAGCCTTCTCATTCTTAAGTTTTATCTCAATGCATGAACAAACGTGCATTTTAATTAAACATCTGCTCTTGACTACATTGTTTTATGTGCTAGAAACAATATTTTTTACACAAGATTTAGAAACAGCTCAGTCACATTTACCGAAGAAGCATTCCACAAAAAAAAAAAAAAAATCTTCAACACTGGGCAGCACGGTGGCTCAGTGGTTAGTACTGCTGCCTCACAACACCAGGAACCCGGGTTCAATTCCACCCTCGGGCGACTGTGCGTGGAGTTTGCATATTCTCCCCGTCTGCGTGGGTTTCCTCTGGGTACTCCAGTTTCCTCCCACAGTCTAAAGATGTGCAGCTTAGGTGAATTGGCCATGCTAAATTGCCCGTAGTGTTCAGGGATGTGTAGCTTAGTGGGTTCTAGGGGGATGGTCTGGGTGGGATATTCCAAGGGTCAGTGTGGACTTGTTGGGCCGAATGGCCTTTTTCCACACTGTAGGGATTCTATGATCTATGCCCATGCTAGCTAACGTCAGTGAGGCCTCCAACGAAGCGATGTTGTTCTACTCCACTTGGAATTTATATTCTCCGGTCCGTCATGATGAGCAGTATCATTTCTGGCTTTGTTCTATGTGGGTTTGTATACGGGGTCCAATTCTATATGCTGTTGATTGCATTATGGTTTGAGAACCATGCCTCTAGGAATTCCTGTGCAGGTCTATTCCAGAATACATGAACATCAGCTAGCAGCAAAACAACACAACAAACTTTCCTTAATATTGGTACACTTGGACAACGTCACCATAGTAGCCCAAGGCAAAAACAGACACTCACGGGAATTCCTAGCAGTATGGTTCTCAACCCATTACGCAATCAACAAACATATAGAATTGGACCCATTTACAAACCCATACAGAACATAACTGGAAGTGACACTGCTCATCATAACCGACCACACAGTATAAATTCCAAGCGGAGTAGAACAACATCGCTTCATCAGAGGCCTCACTGATGATGTTACCTAGCCTGGTGACAAAACGTCTGAACAAAAACAAATCAGCTTGGCGAGCAAGTCAGCAACCTCATTGGCAAGGGAGTTTCTGTTCTTAACAGGATTCCTGCCTACAGGATGCAGAAATGAGAATTACTTCAAACAACAAGAAAAATGGCATGGTGAATGTAGATATACACTCTGAACTTCTGCGTGGTTGGTATGAATGCAACATAATTAAGCATTGCAACAGCAGTAAAAAAAAACTGCCTGAAGAAAGAATGTGGAGCAGTAATTCAATGTTTAAAACAACTGTTAGTATCAGCGCCTTTATAATGCAAACAGTGTAGGCTTGTACCCACTGAAGTTTAGCAGGGTAAATGATGACTTGTTTGAAACAAGACATTTCCTCTTGTGCAAGAATCTAGAGCAAGGGTCATAGGTTAAAATAAGGGTCTGCCCATTAAAGACAAAGATAAGGAATTTTTTCCCCTCACAACAGGTTATGAGTCTTTCTTCCTTAAAAGGCAATGGAAGCAGAGTCTTTGGACATCAAGGTAGAGATAGATAGGTTCTATTAAACAAGTCAGTGAAAGGTTATTGCAGGAGGAAATGGAGTAATCAGATCAGTCACAATCTTATTGCCTAGCAGAGCAGGCTTGAGGGCCAAGTGGCTGAATCCCACTCAACTCAATATCAGAAGTAACATGACCAAGACACAGAATGAAGCAGCTGATCTAATTGGAATGTGGAACTTGCTATCACATAGGGTAACTGAAGTAAATAGCTTATCTGCCTTAAGAGAAAGTTAATTAACTAGCTGAAAGAGAAAGACATACAGATAAAGTTGGACTGAATATGGTGGGAATAGGTTTTTGTAAAACATCAGCATGGACAGGCCAGATGGTCTATATGGCCTTTTTTCGAGGTTGTAAATTCTAAGTAATGTAACGTAACACAAGAATATGGCAACACAGTGGCTCAATGGTCTGTAGCACTGCTGCCTCACAGTGCTTGGAACCCAGGTTCAATTCCAGCCTCAGATGACTGTCTGCCTGGAGTTTGTGCATTCTACTAGTGTCTACATGGATTTCCTCCAGGTGTTCCAGTTTCCTCCCAGAGTCCAAAGATGCGCAGGTTAGGCGGATTGGCCATGCTCAATTGCTCAGTGTCCAGGGATGTGCAGGCTCAGTGGGCTCGGCATGGGAAATGCAGTGCTATGCAGATAGGGTGGGTTGGGTCTGGGTGGGATGCTCTTTGGAGGTTTGGTTTGGACTCAATGGCCAAATGGCCTGCTTCCACACTGTAGCCATTCTATGAACATAAAAACTAAGCTCAGAGTAGGCAATTCAGTCCCTCAAGCCAGCTCCTTCATTTAACATGATCATGGCTAAACTCATCTCGGCCTCAACTCCACTTTTTGGACCTCTCGACACAGCCCTTCAATCCACTACTAATTAAAAGTTTGTCTCTCTATCTACCTCAAATGTATTCACTGCACTCTGGGGTAATGAATTCCACAGATTTGAGCCATGGAGAGAAAGAATTCCTCTTCATCTCAGTTTTAAACCTGCCAAAAACTATGGCCTCTTGTTCTAGTTTTGTTTTGAATAAGATCAACTCTCACCACAACATAAAATCACTTGGAGAATTGTACAACAGGAAGTCAGAGAAATCATTTTGTTCGATTCCAAGACAAAATATGCCAAACAAACGAGAAACCAGGGTCCCTGGCGCTATCTTTAAAAGGTTGTTCAGCAACCTGGTCAAGCACTTATAATTCCTCAGGGCTACATGGTATCTATACCAGATTATAGGAGACAGGCAAGAGAGGAGATTGCTGGGGACTTGACCAAAATCTTTGTATCCTCATTAGCCAATGGAGGGGTCCCACAGGACTGGCAGGAAACTAACGTTGTTCCTCGGTTCCAGAAGGGAAATAGCGAATAATCCAGGAAACTAGACTGGTGAGTCTCACATCGGTGGTTGGGAAGCAATGGAGAGAATTCTTAGAGATTGGATTTACATGCATTTGGAAAAGCATGGCCTAATTAGGGACAATCAGTGTGGCTTTGTGGGGGGCAGGTCATGTCTTACTAACTAGATTGAAATTTTCACGGTGCTGATAAAAGGTGATCGATGACAGTAGAGCAGTAGATGTTGTCCCTCATGGTCGGCTCATCCAGAAGATTAAGATGCATGGAATTCACTGTGACCTGGCTCCGTGGATGCAGAATTGGCTTGCCCATAGAAGGCCAAGGATAGTGGTGGAAGGGAGTTTTCCTGGCCTGAGGTCCGTGACTATTGCTGTTCCACAGGGATCCGTACTGGGACCTCTACTGTTTGTGACTTGGATGAAAATGTAGGTGGGTGGGGTTAATAAGTTTGCAGACGATACAAGATCGGTGGAGTTGTGGATAGTGTAGAAGGTTGTCAACAGATACAACGGGATTATAGATCAGTTGCACATGGAGTTTAATCTGGGCAAGTGTGAGGTGTTGCACTTTGGGAGATCAAGTGTTTAGGAAAAGTATACAATTAGTGGCAGGGACCCTGAACAGCACTTATATACACAAGGATCTTGGGGTTCAAGTCCGTAGCTCCCTGAAAGTGGTCACACAAGTAAATATTGTGGTAAACAAGGCATATGGCATGATTGCCTTTATTGGTCATGGAATTGAGGACGACAGTCAGGATATTATGTTGTAGCTTTAAAAGGCTTTGGTTAGGCCACACTTAAGAGTACTGCATTCACATCTCGTTGTCACATTACAGAAAGGATGTAGGAGTTTTGGAGAGGATGCAGAAGAGGTTCACCATGATGCTGCCTGGATTAGAGGATATGAGCTGTAAGGAGACTTCGGTTGTTTTCTCTGGAGTGGCGGAGGCTGAGGGGAGACTTGACAGAAGTCTATAAAATTATGAGATGCATAGTGTTAATGGTTGGAATTTTTTTCATGGCATTGAAATATCTAATACTTGGGGCAGTGCATTTAAGGTGAGGGAGGAAAAGTTCAAAAGGAGATGTGAAGAGCAAGTATTTCTTAAAAACAGAGTGGTCGGAGTCTGGAACTGGCTCTGGCTCCCAGAGGTGGCGGTGGAAGCACATACAATAGGGGTATTCAAGAGACATTTAGATAAGCACATGAATATACAAAGAATGGAGGAATATTGACCAAAGGCAGGCAGAAGGGATTAACTTAGTTTGGCATCATGTTCGGCACAACATCGTGGGTCGAAGGTCCCATTCTGTGCTGTACAGTTCTAAATTTCATATTCACATGTTGCTAGGTGAGAGATCAATATAAAATGGTGTCATAGATCAACATGCCCACTCCCTTGACTGGTTACTGTGGAAAACCAAAACAAGCTTTCTAGTTGTGTGTCTTGACTTTCCTTTCAGTGCAAAGGCATGTACTGTGGGAGACATTTTCTTCCTTGGATTGCTACAGTGTTCTGCCAAAGCTCAACATAAGCTGGAGGAACAGTACTTAGGTATTTTACAGCCAACATTTCCTCTAAGCTGTGTGGCTACACATGTGTACAGCCACTCCAAGTGTCCATGCACACAGTCATCAGCAAGCCAACACCATCTGCAGCACGAACTTGCAGTTCCGGAAGTTGATAGCCTGCACAGACCTCAGAGGTTTAAACATATGAAGAAAAATAGCTGGAACACTGTTTACAGCCGTTAAAACGCAATTTTGACTTCTACAACTTCAAAAGGATGACCCATTCTCCATTTCTCATCCAACTCCACTCGCCCCAGCCAGGATTATTTGTGTCTTGTTGGCTTGCTCTCAGCAAAGATGTTTCCCTTTCTCTGTACAATTACATCTATTTTACATATTTATCACTGCATTATCATATCATTGGCTCTGTGTTTTGCTCTGGACACACACACCATTTATTTCATTTGTTCCTCCTCCCCCGGTCACTGCCATAAGAACCAGCACTTGAGCTCATTTCAGTTCCAGAGTCATAATGGCCTCAATGTTAACTCAGTTCTCTCTCTATTGATGTTGCCAGGCCTCTTGATTTTCTCCAGCACTTTGTCATTATTTCACATTTCCAGCATCTGCAGTATTTTGCCTTTATTCAAGTATTATAAGCCTGTTAGCTCTGGCTGAGGGAGCAAAGTGCTAAGAGGGAAGGCCGGGATACTGTATGCATTCAAGTAGGGAAGTGAGTGTGCATGCAGTCACTGACCATGGAACATGCCTTGAAATGTTGGTACTGGGTGTTCGAGATGGAAGTCAGGAGGAGTAAGCAACAGATTAGAGTCGCTATGTACCTGCTTCAAATTACATAACAGCACCCTTTTTCCATTCAATGGGAGGTAGAATGGGAGCCTGGATATTAATGAGGTGAGATTAGGTAGGAATTAGAGCGATAATGATTGATAATCCCCATGAATAGCTCTCTCATCGCTCTCTATCTTGACCTTAATTGGAAAATACAACCTGTTGCTCTCGACATCAAGAAAAGGCCTTGCTCAATTTCTCGTGTGGTTCCCGCCATAGCCCAAGTCATTCAGGGCCTGGGAAGATTCCATCTATTGTCTCACATTCATCTAAGTTATCTACTTCAATTTCTATTTATCACTGCATCATTATACGACTATCATCATTGGGGGATTAGCACAACCTAATATGTTTATAGTGTAAACCCAAATGAAAAAATACTGTTGCATTTTCCATTTTGGACAAGGATCTGAGCTTCCCAAGAAATCAAACAGAGTAAAAATGTCCCCTTTTGCAAATATGCGGTTTGTCACTGAGTTAAAGCAATGAAAGTCAATGTGGATTTTTAAAAATGGGACACGAGTGTCAATGGCTGGATCAGGAATTATTGCCAGTACCTAATTACCCTGGATGGAGAATTGGCTTGATAGAGAATTTTTGGATGGTGTTCACATGCATCTGCTGTTGTTGTGCTTCTACGTGGGGGAGGTCACAGTGCACCTTGTAAATGGTAAATACTGCTGCCACTATACATGAGTGGTGACGGGAGAGCGTGGTGAAGATTGCAGACGGGGTGCCAATCAAGCAGGATGTTTTGTCTGGGATGGTAACAAACTTGGAGTTTTGGAGCTACAATCATCTAGGCAAGTAGAGAATATTGCATCATACTCCTGACTCGGGCCCTGTAGGTGGTGGACTGGCTTTGGGGAACATGTACTGTGCTACTTACCACACACAATTCCTCGCCTCTGATGTGCTCTTGTAGCCACACTATTTGCTGCATTAGATCAAGTCAAATTAGAGAGGTTTGTATACAGCATTAGGTGCAAGAGGAAAATCTTCCAGCTATAATCAGCAACATAATTGGGTGTGTGAATTTATATTTTTTCCTCAGGAATTCAAGAGATTTTTATTGCCTCATGTTTATTTGGTCTAACAAATCAGCTTTAACTCACTGATGAAAGTGTTTTACACTCTACGTTTAGATTAGAACCGTAGAAGAATTGGTTCATAATTTGTTCCCTGAATAGCTGTGTGAAGTGCGAGTACTGTAAACTAAGCACAACATATAAAACTAATGTCTCAAGTTTGGTTTTCCCCATGTCGTATACCACTACTGATATTTATTTAGGGGAGGAGGTACAATCCACTTGGGTATATGAATGAAAAAGGTTTAAAAGGGATATGGGCCAAAAATGTTGGCAAATGGGACGAGGTCAGATTGGAATGTCTGGTTGGAGTGGACGAGTTGGACCAAAAGATCTGTTTCCACGCTGTGAGAATCTGTACCAAAACAGTACTTAAATAAATGTACAAAAATGTATTTTAAGTATCACATTGTCCAAAACATGTCAAGAACTTTGGAGACACTGGCCTACTTCACGTGTAAATGAAAACATAGCAATTTAGCACACAATAAACTAACAAAAGATTACACCTAACAGGTTACTGCATTGGAAACAAGCAGCTGTGAAAAACCTACCTGTGAATAGACCAGCTACAGCAGAGGGCTCAGTTCTAAACTGGGAAGCATTAGAATAGGCTGGAGGACCACAGAAGGAATCTGACAGATACATGTGCAAAGAAATAGGACAGAAAAATAAGTAGACGTTACTTAGCAGAGGATTGAAGATCAGGCACAAGTAGAAATAAGACAGAGAAAAGTCCAATTTATTAGTTAATTGCACGTCATAGACAAACTAAACCACACACTGTTCAATTTTTAACAATAGCTTACTAACCTATAACTACAATTCCACTTTCATTTTAGACATCAACACATTGATAGATAACTCCTAAACAGTAATGAGTATTTGCACTGAATACACCAGACTACAGACTAAACAGTTCAGAAGCTTATTTCAGCTGACTGTGTTCTAGCATATTTTCACATCTATAAAGTAAAAAAAGGTCTCAAACTCAAAATGCGATACTCATCCCCTTTGCCATTTTAAAACTACCAAAGCTCAACAGTAAACACCAAACATGTGACAATACAGCACAGAATATACTTGTCCAAATTGGAAACAAAAAGGAAATCTGGTATTTTGTTTAAGATGCAGTCTTTGAAGTTTTTTCATTGAAATAATTAATCAAAAAAGTCAGGTAGCAGCCAATTGAGAAAATATTTGATTGAGACATCTATAATAGCAAAAGTAAGAGCAAAATGTTCATTTGTCCACCAAATCAAAAATAAGAAAGAACTAGAGAAAGGCAGAAAGAGATGAATGAAAAAGCAAATCAAAATGAAAACCCTGCATCTTAATGCATGTAACACTTCACTTCCAGATATCAACTTCTAAAGTTTAGACACATGCTGACAAAACAGCAAACAATTTTCAGATGACAAAGTTCAACAAGTAAGGTTTGATTCACGTTTTTGCTTGTGTTAGTTAAGAAAAGAATGTTCAGAACATATTTATACACAACAAATGGTCAAAGGAGCCTCAAACAAAATGTAATGAAAAATGAAACCAACCTGAGGAAAAATGCGATCAAACGTAGGGTTTAGTTTTTCTATTAGAAAGGTATTCTGAATAGTGTGGTTCATTCGCGCTGACAACTGAAGACTTCCAAACAAAGGTGCAAAGAATTGACAAGACTACATAATAGACTGGATCAAGCACAATGGAGCCTTCAGGAGGTGATATACATTACAATATTTTCCAGCAACGTAAGTGTGGAGCAAAGTCATGGAGAATTTAGAAACAGGCATATTGATTTCAACTGAACATGGTGTTCAGCTTCCAAAAGTCTGGACTTATCCAGGACTAGATGATGCACAGGTACAGCACTCTAAACATCACAAATACAGTTAGAAGGTCAAAGGAGAATTAGAGTTCAGTGCACATGTGAAAAATCAACCATATATCTGCTGATGATATCACTGAAGGCATTGAGATAACAGTGATGGTCAGTAACAACAGATGTTGATGGGAGGTAACAATGCAGGAGACAGTTATTGCTGCAGATAAATTATTGTCACCATATTGGTTGCAACGCCAGAGGAAAAGCAGTTTAAAAAAAGTGCAGAGACTTGTACTTATGCAAAGTTTTTCACATTAAGTGAATGCCCTATTTATCTTTAAAATGGACAAGTTAGACTTTTTACATCCACTTGAGCAGCAAACAAATCCTCAGTTTAGCATCTCATAGCAAAGACAGTGCAGCACACCTACTACAGTGCACTGGAATGTCAGCTTTGACTTTTGCACTGAAGACCTAGAATGGGACTTGAACCCAGAGTCTTACAACCCAAAAGCACGAGTGCAACCAACTGAGCCCAAGATGGGCGGCACGATGGCTCAGTGCTTAGCACTGCTGCCTCACAGTGTCTGGGACCCAGGTTCGATTCTGGCCTCTGTCAACTGTCTGTACAGACTTTGCACATTCTCCCAGGGTCTGCATGAGTTTCCACGAGGTGCTCCAGTTTCCCCTCTCAGTCCAAAGATGTGCAAGTTAGGTGGATTGACCATGCTAAATTACCCAGTGTTCAGGGATGTGTAGATCAGGTGCACTGGCTATGGGAAATGCAGGTTTAGGGGGGATGGGTCTGGGTGGGGTGCTCTTCTGAGGGTCAGAATGGGCTTGTCAGGTTTCACGCTGTGGAGTTCTATGATTTTTGTGATACTTTAATTTTATTTTACCTGGAAATGAATGTATTAGTCATATTGGAGTTCCATTTTTGGGTATACGAGTCAGACCAGTATGTGTAACTTGCAAGTTTTACTGTTTTTTTCCTTCTGGGAATCTTGTGAAATAGATTGCTTAAGAGCATTTGACAAAACAAAAATGTGTACATTAAAAGTCCCAAACAGACAGGCAGACAAGAAGCACTTGCAACTTGATGTAGAAATGAATGACAGTTCACTGATGGAGGAAAAATAGTTGCAAATATGGAATTCCTTGGGAAGAAGGAGGGAGTGAATGTAGATATTGCCATGTAAAAAGCCGGTCCAAAGCCTGGCTAACTCAGTCTTGAATATATCAAACGATTGAACCTCCAAACATCAACAATACTCCGAAGAAATTTTTCTCAAATGTTAAATGGGAGACCATTTATTTTGAAGCATGCTCTCTAGTTCTGATTCGTCCCCTGCCCACCCTTTTCAAATGCTGTTAGAACCTTGTGCTTCTATAAAGATCACCTCTCATTCTTCTGAATCCCACTGAGTATGGATCAATCTACTCAAGCTTTTATATTAAAAAAATAATGGTGATATGTGAAGTGCCCGCTTGGCGAGCCAGCACAGACAAGACAGGCTGACTAGTCAAAAGGTTCAACAACACAGAAAGAGACTTTTTGGCCCATCGTGTCCACACTGATCAGCAAAAATCAGGTATTTTAATCTCATTTTTCAGCACTGGGCCCATAACCTGTAGGCTAAGGAATTTCAAGTGCTCATCTAAAGATTTCCCAAGTGCCTTGAGGGTTCCCATCTCTACCACCCTTTCAGGCAGTGAGAGATATCCACAAGCCTGAGTGGATTTCTTTTTCCTCAAATCCTCACCTCACTTAAGCCTCACCTTAAATCAGAGGCAGAGTTTTATTTCTCTCTCTAAGGAAGGAAAACATTTCTCCCTATCTACTTTGTCTACGACTCTCAGAACTTGGTACACTTCAATCAGATTCCTCCCCAGCTTTCTCTGCTTTAAGGAAAACAATCCCAGCCTATCTAGATTCTCTCCACTGCTTAATCACTCCAGTCCAAGCAAAATGCTGGTGCATCGCTTCTTCACCCTCTTCAGTGCAATCACAACCTTCCGAGAATGTGGTAATCAGAACTGCACACAGCACCCCAGCTTTGGCCAAACTTTACAAACAGCTTCATTAAATATAAGAGCAAAAAGATTATAATGTCTTCACTAATAAAGGCAAGTATCCCATATGTCTTCTTAACCACCTTTGGACTGCTTTCAAAGATCTGTGGACATGTACACCAAGGTCTCTCTGATCTTCTGTACTTTCTAGGGTCCTACTATCCAACATGTAATCCCTTGGTAGCACTCAAAATGCATTGCCCCTCACACTTTTCAGAATTAAATTCCATTTGCCACTGTTAAGCCCATGTACACTGTCCTATAGTCTAAGGCTTTCCCTCCTCCCTATTTACACCAATTTTCGTGTTATCTGTGAACTTAGTGATCACACGTCCTACATTCATATTGTGATCATTAGCGAACATAACAAACAGCAAGGGACCGAGTACACAACCCTGTGGTATGCCACTAGACACAGGATTGCAGTTACAAAAACATTCTTTGACCATCACCCTCTGCTGCCTGCCACTGAGCCATTTTTGGATTCATTTCACTAAACTGCCCTGGACCCAATGGGCCCTTAGTGTCTTAAGCAGCCTGCCATGTGAGACCTTGTCAAAAGCCTTACTGAAGTCCACATGAAGTCTACATCAACTGCATTGCCCTCATTTATATACCTAACCATCTCCTTGTTAAATTCAAATCAATTGTTAGACATGATCCCTACCTGACAAAGTTATGCTGACCAACCTTGATTAATCCTTGTCACTCGTGGCAATTAATTCTGCCCTTCAGAATTTTTCTCTATACTTTTTCCTACCGCAGATGTCAGGTTCACTGGTCTGTAGTTTCCTGGTTTATCCCTACCACACTTAGAATCAGAGTCATACAACACAGAAACAGACCCTTCGTTCCAACTAGTCCAAGCTGAACATAATCTCAAACTAAATTAGTCCTACCTGCTGGCTCCTGGCCCATATCCCCACAGACCTTTCCTATTCATGAACTTATCCAAATGTCTCTTAAACGTTGTAATTGCACCGACATCCACCACTTCCTCAGGAAGTTCATTCCACACGTAAACCACCCTCTAAAAAATTTGCCCCTCTTGTCTTTTTTAAAATCTTTCTTCTCACCTTAAAAATGTGCCCCCTCATCTTGAAATCCCCCATCCTAGGGAAAAGACAACTACCATTATCTCTGCCTATACCTCTTGATATTTTATAAACTTCTATCAAGTCGCTTCTCAACCTCGTATGCTCCAATGAAAAGAGTCCCAGCCTATCCAACCTTTCTTTATATTGCAAACCTTCCATACCCAGCAACGTTCTGGTAAACTTCTTTTGAACCCTCTCCAGCTTGATAATATCCTTCCTAGACTGTGAACAGAACGTGACACAGTATTCCAGAACAGGCCTCACCAATGTCCTGTACAACCTCAACATGTCTGCCCAACTCCTATAATCAAAGGACTGACCAATGAAGGCAAGCATCCCAAATGCCTTTAAACCTTCTTGAATAACAGTACAACATTTTCTGATGAAGGGTCTAGGCCCGAAACGTCAGCCTTTCTGCTCCTATGATGCTGCTTGGCCTGCTGTGTTCATCCAGCTCTGCACCTTGTTGTCTCGGATCTCCAGCATCTGCAGTTCCTACTATCTCTGGTACAACATTAGCTGTCCTCCAGTCTCCTGGCACCCTTCATAGAAGATTTGAAAATTAAAGTCAAAGCTCCTACAATCTCCTCCCTTTCTTGCCTCCCACAAAAGTCTGGAATACATCTCACCTGGGCCGAAGATTTAACCACATTCAAGCCTGTTAAAACTGCTATTACCTTCTCGATGCTAATTTGCTCAAATTTATCAGACTACTACTTCCCAGATTTCTAAACCTCCTTTGTCCTTTTTTTTTTATTTTGAATACAGATGCACATAGTCATTTAGAACCTCAGGTGCATCTTCAGGCTCAAAAACAGATTGCTACTTCTATCCTTAATAGGCTGTTCTTGCTGTTGTCCTGCCCCTAACATACTTACAAAATGCCTTTGGAATAATTCTGGACATTATCCACTAGTGTTTTTTCATGTTCCCTCTTTATATCCCTAATTTCATTTTAAGCAAGCTCCTACATTTTCTATACTTCTCTACGACATCAGGTGTTTTGAACCATAAGTATCCACCATAAGCTTCCTTACTTTTCTTCTTACTCCAATCTTGTGCATCTCTTCACATTCAGGGTTCTCTGCACTTGTTGGTTTCATTCTTCACATTTGCAGTAAGGTGTAGGGCCTGCAGCCTTACTTTTACCTAGCTAAATGTCTCCTATTACCCTGATATATCCACCTCAGAAGTCTCCTTTTGTGTTGTAAAATTCTGTGAACTTCAAAAGATCACCTCAGTGCAGGATGTTTTGGCAGCTGGAGAAGACTGACTTTGGTTGATCAACACCTTGAAGCAGACATGGAGTCTAATGTGCAATGTCAGGATGGGCAGGAGTTGACATGGAGGGTACGAGGAACTGTCGGACATAAGCAGGGGTTATGAGTTAGCTTGGAGATGGCATGGACAGACAGTGAAAAAGGTCAAATGCTGAGACCTTTAGAACTTATGTTTCAAAAGGCTCCTGAATCCAGGCTCCAGCTCAAAACCACACACAAGGGACCAAGAATCACGAGACCTTGTGATGCCCGTTTGCCTCTGAAAATTGGAAGTTGGGGCTCTAATGTAGAGTGGTGGCACTAAGAAATGCATACCCCTGCAAAGGAGGTGGCCATGTGAGAACTGTAGGGTGTAAGGTTTGCTATCTACACTCCTACCTGGAATGGAGTTTGAAGAAAGGGATGAGGTGAGCTTTGTTGTGGATGAAAAGGGAAGAAACTCAACTGCAGAGATTTAGGCAAGGAAGATTGGGATAGGGAGGCGTACGGACAGTTTGATGAAGGATTTTCGCAAGGAAAGAGAGATTGCTGATAGGAAGGAGCATGGGAAAAAGGATCTTTTCCGGTGGTGGTTGATGATAGTTTTGAAGGGGAATGTAACATTTGACAGTGCACACCTTCAGCGTGCATCATGAAATTCATTCCAATTCCCTGTTAAAAGTCTTAAACCATACATCAATAGATTTGTTTAACAAATTCAAATTGCAAGGGGAAGCAGGAAGAATGACAATTCTGACGAATGACAATGACTTCCAGGGGTGATTTTTTAACAAATGTAAAGTCATATTGAATATGAAAATTTCAGCTAAATTTCAAGAGCAAAATGAAAAGAAACAGCTTCTGGGTTACTCGACGAACTTGGGTTCTGAGTATTTCTTTTGTCCGGGATAAACAAACATCTATAAAAAAAACGAAGAATTCAAGAGTGTCACAGTGACACTTTAAAAAATATTGTGTTATGTATTTTAACTAGCCACTGTACATTTACCACTCAGGAGCAAATTATTTCTATATTAAAATATTCCTCACAGGGTAGTACAACTTCGAGAGAATAAGGAACTATGTTCTTACTATTTGGAATTCAAAAATATTGGAAGACAAGACAATTCTGCTAATTAGCAATTTTTTAATTAGAATGATATGCACCCATTATGGTCAAACTGGCCTTCCATCATCTGAAAACAGGGTTGTGCCCAGTTATCTATCCAATTGGTATTTCTCCAATTCTAGTCAAAGACCTAAACAATGTTCCAAATGACTTATGAGCACAGTGGGAAGACCAGCCTTGCTTCTAGTTGCAAAAGGTATATTAAAAACTGCAAGCTGGAGGAGTTCCTTGCTCTCCAGTAACTAAAAGTGTGGGGCAAGGGTCTTCCAAAATTCAATCATTTTTCCTGCAATTTCCCCTGGTGCTAATCAGAATGGTTCAAGCCAGGAATTCTATTGCTTCTGTGACAGCAATTCTTCCAGTAATCATCCAATATCAAGAAGTCAAATTTGTATAGAAAGTGGTATGTATGGCATATTTCCATTGTCAAAGGGCATATCATTTGTTGATAAAGATAATGCTGGGATTACTGCAGCTTGTTCTTGGAAGTGATTACAAATGTGTCTGTAAATTACAAGGTTTTCCAAGAAGAAATAAAACGAATCTAAAATAATGAAGTTTTAACAGATCAAACTTTACTGATTTAAGGAAAAATTGTATATCACCTCCTGTTAAGACACACAAATAATATACTCATGAATAAATGGAATGAAAAATCTACAATTAATGAAATCAATGATCCAAATAATGTCTATAAACTGAACAAATTCTGACCTGACCTACCTGAATAAAATTTTAATGTCTTGGATAAGATTCATTAAATGTACAGAACGTTACTGAATCATGGCTGTGTAAGTTAGATTACTTACTTCCTTAGGAGAGGGCTAGCTCAATTACTTCAACTTTAAAAAAAAAAATCAATCATTCTTATTACTACTTTTAAAAGTATTGTACTATGTTTTCTCAAATCAGAAAACATAGATATTGTACTGGAAAAAAACTTTCCATCTGAATACCTGTGGCAATACGGTCAATCCGAGGAGTGTATTCATAATTTGTGGCAACAGTAGAACTTGGCTCAGTAAAAGGATTGAAATGATCTGGAGAATCAAGAAATTGCATGTCTTCATAGATTCAAATTCTTGAAGTACTATATAAGTTCTAATATAGAATTTTAATTGGTCCTGGTAGAGAACACAACTAAATATGTAGGTCTTTACCAAACATTTCATGGCTATGCGTCCTAGAAGTATAGGTCACACCATCTGAGAAGGCGACAGTGGTATTTAGAACTTCATCAGGTTTCGTAAGAAAAGGATTTAAACTTGGAATGGCTTCATCACCAGCACCAGAAGAGGAGAAAGGATCTATAAACAGCAGTGAAGAAAGCAACAAAACAAGGAAAAGCAAAGAAACAATCAGGTCACAAGACAGAAAAACATTCTAGTCAAGGGACATATATTCAACATTTGAAGCTTTCAATGAGTTTATTGCTCATGTGAAGCCTTATTCTTGCTAAATTTGTGAAATTGTTTGCCAGTACTAGAAAATTTCAATCTGAAGTCTAAAAATTACATTCCCATTGACATAGCCTAATAACCTCTAAAGACTGGGCTGTAGTTTTTTTTTTATTATACACCATTATTCCTGGAAATTTCAAATTGTTCTTGTAAACAAATTATATATTTTAAACACAGTTCGTTCACTCAGAAACTACAGTATCAATACTAAAAATTGCTATGTTCACAGCTCTTCATGCTTGTTTCATCACCATGCATGACCAGCAATAGAAGTTCTTAAATCCAAGCATTAGGATCAACATATTTGCATTAAATGTAGTCCTTCAAGAATTATGCTGCAACTTATTATGTTTCTATGTTAAACTTAAGAGGAGAAATTCTTCTGTCCAAAACAAAAGGGGAAGGTTAGGGAGGCAACAGTTACTCTCCTTTTTCCTTCCTCTCATGTGATAGAGAGAGGACAGAGTGGAGGGAAGAACAGGTATCATTTGTAAAAGAAAAAAAGTGACTGCAAACTTTGATTGAAACGAGAACAAACACGTAGTGGCTTCAACTTATCACATGCATAATTTGCTGTCCTAGCCAAATCCAACCACCTTGGAGAGGGGTTGATGACATGCACAAATTTCAGTACAAGTGTCACAGTTGCAGCTTTAAATTAAGATATGCAGAACACAATTATTGTTACCCGACTACGTTATAACAGGACTTCAACTTCAAATCTACACAGTCCTGACTGCAAATCTTCATAATCTGTGTATGTTAAACTATTTGTAAATATTGCATGATATAAAGATCGTATCAATTATTGATTGGCCATTTGGCTATAACAAATTAAAAATCTCAGCACTCAATCAGCATCTCCTACAATCTTATGTTAAAAAAACCTTTTCTTTATGATCACAAGTAGAAGCCCAAAGTGCCCTCATTGCAATACAACTAAAACTAACTCAAAATTAAAGAAAGACAAATTTTGCTAGTTAGATGCTCTGTGCATTCCAATCTCCCACTGAATCTCTCACTTTATTAGGAACAAAAACAAAGTTGCTGGAAAAGCTCAGCAGGTCTGGCAGCATCTGTGAAAGAAAATACAGAGAGTTAACGTTTTGGGTCTGGTGACCCTTACTCGGAACTGATGGTGGCTGGGAAAACGTCAGTTTTTCTGCATATTGGCATTGTAGCATTGTGAAAACAATCATAGAATACCTACAGTGCAAAAAGAGGCCAATCAGCCCGTCGAATCTGCAATGATCCTCCAAAAAGTACCCGACCCTATTGCTGTATGTACCGTGGCTATGTTTTATCATAGATTTACATCCCTGGACACTATAGACAATGTAGCATGACCAATCCATCTAACCTGTATATCTTTTGGACGGTGGGAGGAAACCATAGCACCTGGAAAAAAACCCAAGCAGACATAGGGAGAACGTGGAAACTCCACACAGACAGACAGTCATCCAAGGCCGGAATCGAACACAAGTCCCTGGCACTGTGAAGCAGCAGTGCTAATCACTGAGCCACCATGCCACCCATCAAAACACCAATGAAATACATCTAAAGCATTAGTGGCCTACGAAAACAGATCAAGAGGCAACCTTAATACTGTTAAGACCAAACTCAAGAGATATGGCCCAGTAGTAATGCCATTGGACTTTTAATCCAGACGCCCAGGCTAATGCTCTGGAACATCGGTTCAAATATGATTACAATAGCTACTCAATTAATAAAATTTGGAATTGAAAGATTGTTTTGGTGACTCGGACAACTAATTTACAAAAACCCATCTGGTTCACTAGCTTTTTGTTTAAACAGGAAACCTGCCATCCTCACCTGGTCTCCCACCTGTACATGTGACTCCAGATATGTAGACACTCCAGATACTCCAGTGGGACAAACGCCACTGGCTGTTGAAGAGTACTTTATATTTTGTACAAGTGTGAAACTGCAGCTGACAAATCCAAATAATCCTCAAGTTTCTTACTTTCTGTTGGCTTGGAAAAATAGATTTTCATAACCAGTTCCTTAGAGAAGTTAGTTAACTGGAAATAATTAAACATAGGACTTAAAAAAAAATTGACAAAATATGGCTTATGAAAAAATGTAAAAATTGAATCCGTTACACATTTTTTTGAATCTATCAAACTGCTTTTAAAGCAACTTAGGGAGGATTTTACCAAAATGTTTTAAGCCATCACCCTCAAGTAGTCAGGTATATTGCAGTGCCATGATCCTCAGAAGGATAGATAGTCAACTTGACTGTTTACTATGGAAACACATTTTTATTAGAATACATCTTCTTATATTTGAACGTCCTTACAGATTCCCACAAGAATTATCTGCACAAAATATCGAAGTCTAAACTACTTTAGATTCTGAAAAACAAAAGGACCAGTTTGCCCCATTTCATCAACCAGTACTTTGGCAGAAAAAAAATGAAGTAAAATACCTATATTATTTCAGGTATTTCAATAGATAATGGTAGACTTGTTTTAAAAGATGCCTTTTATAAAGAGAACCTTATTCCTTGTAAATGTAATCACCTGATCAATTGTACTGACACTGGACTACAATTTCCAAGCCAAACTCAAGACTACAATCAAAAGCATTTGGATGTGCTCACACCGAATTATCCATTATTTTACAATGTTCTTCTTGCAATTATTATTTCAAAAACATTCTTCAATGTTGCTGATTATCACCTTGGTCTCAGGACATCAAACAGATAGTTAATAACAGTTAATTAGCAATTTGAACAGTACAAAAACAACTGTGTTATAAAGAGAAAAAAAACACTTCATACTATTCAATTCATAAGCATATCCCACAGAGGTAAACAGCAACCGAACTGTGCACACTATATATTCCACAAACACATGAAACAACTACACATTAACCATGTCCTTGGAGAATTCCCTGCTTTTCTCAGCGCCCCCAAATTGACAGGATTTTGCGCATTCTTCGGACTGATCAAAAGACAGCAGTTCCAACAATGCAGCATTTTCCTTGACCTAGACTGAAGGATCAGTCTAGCTCATGTCCTGAGGCCCTGGAGTGAGGTTTGAATCAAAAATTATATGCACATTCTGTGACTACTGTAATACACAACCCTCAAAGGCTTTCCATTTGTGTACATCAATCATGTATGGTTGATGAAAACAGCTGCAACCTTTCTGTTTTTGCCATGTTACTCCTTTAGAGAACTCCAAATAACTTGGTTAAGCAGGATTTATCTTTCATGAAACCATGCTGACTCTTCCCAATTCCCTTCAGTCTAATCTCCCAGATATAGCCTCTTTAAACGATCAGTTCCACTTTCCCCATGAAAAATATCAAGACTTGAACACAGGGATAATATTTGCTACTTTACAGTCCGACTGAACCTTTGCAGAACCTAGCGAGTTTTAGAAAATTAACACCAACATATCTTTCATCTGATTAACCAAATTTTTAAGACCCTCAGATGAAGACTATCCAGACCAATTGATATGTTTACCCATTCTTACTCTCTGGAGGGTCACTCACTTTACTTACTTTTCCCATTTTAAAAGCCTATTGAAACTCTTGCTTTGTTTTTATATTTCTAACTAGCTTCCTTTCCTGTTCTAATGTCTTTTTCCTAATTTACCCCTTAGTCATTCTCTGCCATTGTTTATATGCTAACAGTCAACAGACCTACCTGCAACTTACTTTTGGGAATTTGATCCTTTTGCCTTATGTTTGTTGCATTTCCAAACTATTTCAGCAAACCATGGGTGGTAGGCCCTTTAAAATTATTCTAGAATAGTAGGCAACGTACAGATTCTGAGCATTCTGAAATATTCCCTTAAATGTCTGCCATTGCGTGTGTATTGATCTATCCTCTAGCCTAATATACCAGCTCACTTCAATGAGCTCAGTTTTCATAGCAACATAGTTGCTCTTCTTCAAATTTAAAATACTACTCTTTGACATAACCAACTTGTTTTCAAGCAGCATGTAAAATTCAGTCATATTGTGCTTGCTGCTATCTAAAAGGTGCCACTACTGAGATCATTCATTAATCCTATCAAATTATCTAAAACCAAGAGTAATAGAATGTGCTGTTTGATCAGTTCCAGATTGCTGCTCCGAGAATATTTTCGAGAGAGTTTCTATGAAGTCCTCCCCCAGGCTACTGCTGCCAGTTTGATTTTTCTATTCTATAATCAGATTCAAATCATATATGATTATTAATCGCCCTTCATCACAAACATGAAATATTGCTTCTTGTATTCTTTCTCCTTCTTTTTTTGCTGTTCGGGACCCTGAAGACTATTTTCACCAGTGGTTCCCATGCTATTCCTCACTGCACCCAAACAAATTCTACATCCCAATTTCATAAACCAAGGGGCCTCTTAAAGATCAAGGAGGTTGTCTTTGTGTTGAACCCCAGAAGATGAGCAAGATACTAAGTGAATATTTTGCGTCAGTTTTTACTGTGGAGAAAGAAATGGAGTCTAGAGAATGCACTGAAACAAACTGTGTCTTAAAAACAGTTCACCTTCTAGAAGAGGAAGTTCGGGAGGTCTCCAGGAGATTAGATGCCTCTGATCTAACGTATCCCAGAACATTGTGGGAACTAAGGGAGGAAATTACAAGACATCTTGCAGTAATATTTGTATCATCTATAACTAGTGAGGTGCCTGATGTCTGGAGGGCAGCTAATGTTGTACCTTTGGTTAAGGAAGATTATAAGGAGAAACCAGGGTACTATGGACCTCAGAGTCTGATTTTGGTTGTGGGTAAATTGTTGCAGGTGATTATAAAAGATAGGACTGATGGACATTTAGAGGGGCAAAAATTGATTGGTCACAGTCAGCGTGGTTTTGAGAGAGAAAATCATGTCTCACAAACCTGATTAAGTTTTTTGAGCAAGTTACCAAAAAGATTGATGATGGCAGAGCAGATGTCGTTTATTTGGATCTTAGTAAAGCCGCTGACAACGCAAAAGGATCATCTTAGTGCATCCTGGGGACTGGGACAATTGACATCATTTGCCAGTCTTTTCCTCGGCCCACACTGCCCATGACTTTTGCAGTCAGAGATGATGGACCTCATACAAAACTGCCCACCAAGACAGAACAATCTCTGAACTGTATCTGTACAGCAGTTTAAATCTGGCTCTTATTCAAGGGGATCTCAAGACTTTGAACAGAATTAATATCAACAATCAGTAAGCAGTAACATTCAAGCATTTCCACAGACAACACACCAGGAAGTTAAAAGCACTGATTGTACTTGAGAAAATTTAAAGGTAAAGACAATAAGTGATTGATTGGATGAAGATGGAAATGAAATAGCACAAATACATAATACCAGCTTTTAAACCATATATATTTTTGAACTCTTTTCATCATAATGCCAAATGAAGTGGTAGATGCAGGTACAGCTACAACATTTAAAAGACACTTACATAGGTACATGAGTAGGAAAGCTTTAGAGAGATATGGGCCAAGCACGGGCAAGTGAGACTAGTTTAGTTTGGGAAACATAGTTGGCATGGACAAGCTGGACCAAAGGGTCTGTTTCCACGCTGTATGATTCTATGACTGCATGTCTGGCTCACCACTCGAGTGCATTCAACCACTGAAAAACTTTCAATTGCATTCAACAACTATAAAGCAAAACCACGTTCTAAAACAGTCCAAAAAATTGTCAATTTGAAATTTAACCAAGAATGGAGACAACATGTTAGAGAATATTTACATATTCAATAATTTGGAACCAATGACTTAGGATGGAGTGGAATCAAAGGAAGCAAAAATTAAAAGAGTAGCAAGTGTATGTCAGGTAACAGCATACAATGTCTTGGTGCTGAGGGAGAATATCAACTAAACTCAGGATTGAATAACTTAGCAAGATTACAAACAATCTACTTTAGCCAGACAAAGTTACCAGGGCTTTGAACAGAATTAGTCACAAAAGCAGGAAAACCATGGCCAAAGGCATCAATAATGGCTTCAGTATTCAACTGACTGTCACCTCGCATTACTGAAGGATAAAGAGTGCAGTGCCATATCTAAAGACTATATATATACATACCTAAATAATTGTTCCAAGATGCTAGATTTACACTTTGCATTATAAATACAGGAGCAAAAAGATAAAATTCAAGTGTATGCTTAAGAGGCTCTCACTTATGGCTTGAAAAGTATTGTTAAAAATTCAATTTAAAACATAGGGGCAAGGCAGGGTGGTTATTTAATTCTTGAAAGATGTGTCACTGTGTTTCAGAAATCAAGATACAAGTATTAAAGCCAGACCCTAATCCACCTACTTCTACTATTGAAGGCAGGTCAGGCAAAGGGTGGGATAGGGAGGGCCATGAATTCACTCTCAGATGGTGGGTCAGTTGTAGGTTTTAAAGACAATGGTATGATTCCATTTAAAACAAGCTTTGTATTTGCAATTAATGCTGGCTTGATTTCCACAAGGTAAGTGCCATTACAGCATTGCCTGTGGGCCAGATGTTTCACTCTCCTTGCCCAACAAGTTACTCTGAAATTCCCCAAAATCCAAATCAGCTGACCCTACCATCACCACTATCCTTTAATTATTTCTCCCCAATTTCACAATCATCTCATTACAGCTGAAATGTCTGTCTGTCCTACCTCCATCCCAAGAGTTTCTCTTTGCTCCTCAGCCTGCCTGTTTTCTAACCTAAGCAGGCAGTCAACCAGACCGACCGATTGTTCAGCAGAGAACATTGACGGAAATTTTAAAATGCCCTGCTTTTAATTGCAGGATGTTCAGAAAAACAACCTTCTGGGATTCCTGTTCATAACTGTTCATAACATGCCTCCCTACCCTAGCCACTCGGAGCATGCAGTCCTGTAAATATCATTTCTAAATTAGGAAATACAAGTAGGTTGACAATTAGGCAAACCACAAAACCTTCTGTGATTGGAAAACCAAGTGTCCTAGATATGGATCTCTGTTCAGTCCCGTTTTAGATGCCTGCCCTGCAAAAATGTTCTTTGAAGTAGCAATCTACTGTATTCATTATAGATTTCTTTATTAAGTGATCTAGGCTCAGATTTTTATTGATTATTTTGAATAATGTTTAGAAGATAACTTTTAGATTATTCATGCATTTTGATCAAAAATTTTAATAATACATTAAAAAATTACCAAAACATGAATTTTTTTGCTGTCTGAAAGGTCTCTCAAGACATCTTACCTCCCCATGTATTAGATGCTGGAGCCATCGTTGAGATAGATTGCATGGATGGCTGAAATGTTGGCTGAAGATCAAGCAAGTCATTTGGCACTTTGGAAGTGCTGTAGGGTAAAAATAAAAATAGCTACTTACATTAAATATACTTAATGTAAATATTAAGCGGTTAAAAGTCAAACTTTTCTGATCTTTTTGGCTTGGCTGTACTTTGGGAAAAGTAGTATGCGATTTAAAAAAAAAAAAAAAAAATGGTTTTCAGGGGTCAAGTGGAAGTGACTTCAAACTGAAAGCACCTCTTTTGCTCCCCATGATAAACGTTCCTCGACAAATCAAACTTGTCACCAAGCTTATTCAGCATATTATCCAATTGCTTAGAAACAAAGACTTGCATTTTCAAAAAGAAAAAAAAAAGTGTCCTTCATGGCCAGAAATATCAAATGTGCTTTACAACCAATGAGGTACTTTTTGAAGTGTGGTCAGTCATAATGAAGAAAAAGCAAAGGACAACTGTTCATAGCAAGCTCCCACAAACTGCAATGCAATAACGATCAAATAGCATGTTTACATAATCCTCATTGAGGGATAAACAGAATCACTTCAAATGTTTTGTTTTTCTACCATGTTCACACATGGCAAGTGTAATTCCTTTCACTAATACCTTCTCAAAAAGATTTCTATAATAAGTGAAGTACATAAGTAATTAGACTGCAACATTTGAGACATAATTTGAAAAGTAATTTTTATAATATTGTCAACTTTCAGATGCTACACACACACACACAATGTTAAGGACTAACCGAAGTGCAACTATTCAAATTACATTCAGACATTAATCATCATACCTCCAGGCTCCAGTCCAAGATCAATAAATCAATACCTAAGGGATTATAGTACTTAAACATTTCAAAAATTGACTTTTATCGGATTTCATTTAAAAATCTCCATGAAAAATTGTTTCCTAAGCTCCTTTATACATCATTTCTTGTAATGCTTACTGGAACTGAATCTACAAAAAGGACAGTACCAAGTCCAGTAGTGAAACCTACACTCCATGGTCAAATTCAGAGGGCAGCAAATATGCTAATAGTGGTGCTGGTGTTGCAAATACTGGGCTAATTCAGGCTGATCTGTAAAGGAGAATACGGTTCTTTATGTATACCGGACCGAAAAGCATAAATAAACATATACAGGAGTCAGATTGGCTCCTGCTTCCTCTTTTGCTAGACGAATATCTGTCACATGTACAACACAGCTAAACAGCAGCTAAAAAAATCTTATACCTGTTGGAAGAACTAGGTGTTGAGAAGAGGTCTACGGCTGCAGTTGTGCTGATACTTCCACCCGAGGTTGAACTGGGTGATGCGGCAGTTGTTGCAGAAGATGGATAGGATTTTTTTGCAAGTTCCCTCAAACGCTGTTCCTGTTATTGGGAAACAATTCTAACCATTTAACAGATATATGAAAAAAGTTTAACTAGTCACAAATGGAACCGAAAATATTCAAATTAGCATTTAAGACTTATTGGAAATTTAACTGGAGGAATCATTTTCACTCAGGTCGTAAGATTTAATGAACATATAGGGATGGGGGAATTATAGGTTTGTTTAAACTGTATCGTAATATTCATAGAATTAAACTGTCTTAAAAATGTTACTTTGCCAAGTACAAAAGTAAAAAAAAATGCAGGACTTGAGTTATTCAATAGGACACCGGATGATTAGTTGGATGGGAAGTATGAGAGGGCAAGGGGATAAAGCAGGAGATTGGCACTGCATAATGATACTCATAAGATCCAGTGCTGGCATGATGGGCTGAATGGCCTCCTTCTGCGCCGTAACAATTTTGTGCTTTTGTGATAGTGAATTTAAAAGGAAGAGTGACTAGCTCTGAAGAGTGAATCACTTACAATGGTATACTTTTGTGAGCAAGGGAAGGAAGAAATACACAGTCTAATAGGAAAGGGATCAAGGGAATAGAAATGGATTTCATGGGGAAGATACACTTGCAGAGAACAGAGAAAAGATGGAGTAAAGCAAGCGAAAAACGTGGGTTTTAGGAGTGTGAGGAAAAAATAAATAAATAAATAAATAAATCACTCTCTCAATGATGATGCAAGATACTTTATCAAAATGTCTCAACATTCTTACAAGTACACAAGCCATTGGTAATGGCTTGAATTTTGCTGGTTTTGGGAAGCAGAATAGGGAAGGTGAAGGAAGAATTAAAAAAAAAAGCTATAGATTACCTTGAGTGCTTTCAACCGGGCCTGTTCTTCCTCCAAAGCTGCTTGTTTTTCTCTTTCATCTACTCGGCTGAGTGACATGCCTGTGTTAGAAAGTGATGAGACTGCATTTGAAAGGGTGGTAGCTCTGAGGGGAGAAAAGAGAAAGAAACAAGATATTAGACCTGAGCTTCAAGTGAACTATGTATATTATCTTACAGATCAGTGACAGGTCCCAGGAATTAATTCCCATTGTACTTTCCTAACTCATATGATAAACTGCATGCCTTCTGAAATTGAACCTTGGAATAGAATTTCCAAGATAACTTTCAAAAAGTAGTTACCTAGAGATCAGTTTTAGCTTCACAAAACTGTGAAAATAAAAGCAAACACTGCCGAATCATTTAAAAAGTGTACAAGAGATCATTTGTCAATCTTACCACTCTCTTCCCGCCACTCCAAAAAGAGATTAATAAACTAGGCGTGTTACTTTCAAAACCCCCAAGGAAATTCATAATAGGTGTACACTGGATGGAACATGCAGCTGGCAGCCCATTTATCATTCACCCTTTGCACAATTATGATTCACTCTTCACTTTTCAACATTCCTGTGGACCTCTCTTTAAAGACAATATGGTTGTTGCTGCTATGACAGATTACAGAGTCAGAGCACAGAAGATGCCCTTTGGCCCTTTGAGTCTGTACCCCCTCCAGTGCAATCACATCATTCCAGATGGCAACCAGAACTGCACACTGTACCCCAGCCATGCCCTAACCAAAATTTCGTACAGCTCCAACATGATCTCCCTGTTCTTACAATCTCCTTTGTCTGGTTACTTCTTACCAAGTATATGACCTCATACTTTTCAGGATTCAATTCCATCTGCGGCTGATCTGTTCATCTTAACAACCATCTGTACCTTCCTGTCACTTAAAACCTTCTTTCTCACTGTTAGCCACCCAGCCAATCTCCATAATCACCCATTTTCGTGCCAATTTGGGTCAACATCAGTCAACAGACCACAACAGCCAGGAAAAACTAGCCAAACTAACCCACCAAAACAACAACAACAGAGCAGACACCTGGATAAGAAACCTTAAAGATAGGATCCTGGGACAGGCAAAGCAGAGACAAGCACGGTAATTCCTCGAAGCCTGGTACTCCACTAAGAAAGCCATCAATAAGTACAGAGCTAGACCCCATATACATTCCATTGCGAAGGAAAACCGGAAGTGAGGTAATCCAGCTCAACGGACTCCAGCGTTTAAATAACAGGCAGAAAAACACAACAGTGCTGCATCGGAGGCTGCACTGATGTTACCCAGCAGGGTAATGAAATGACTGCGGAACAACAAACCAGCTCAGCAAGCCAACCTCAAGAAAAAGTATATTTACTCCAGAGCAAGGTTAAAATAACACATCAAATGGTGAGGCAAATAACTGAGATAGTTTCAAAAGGAAACTAGTTAAGTTCATGAGACATGGAACTGGAAGGATATGCTGTAAGCTAAGATAAAGTAGATGGAATGGGAGAAGACTTGTGCCATGTAAACATCAACACCGACAAATTGATCAGAATGACCCATTTATGTGCTGTATACTCAATATAATTAATTACATGCAACTGGACTCTGAAAATATGATACTTTTACAAGATTTATCGTATGATTTCAATCAAATGCACAACTTAGTAGGAAAGAAATTGCCTAACATCCCCACACTGCCATACCATATAATTTACACACTGAAAACATACAAATAAATTTCAGTAATAACACAAATCATAAGCAGTTCAAAAACTTCAGGAACACAACTTTAAAGAAAACAGCAAAGTTCAAGCTGTTGATTTTATTTAAGCAAACAATGAGTTAAGACTCCTAAATCTAATTTTAAATCAGATTCCCTGCAAGTTATGGAGACAATGCATTACTGCTCTCAACACAAGAAAGGCAGTGATCAAAAATATCAACTTCCAAACAAAACAATTGTTTGCTGACTGAGGTAGCAAGTTGTTCAGGCCTAATTAAATGTTACAGAAACTAAGATAAGATGTTCCCAAAGTCCCTACTTGTAAACCATCACTTCTCTCATGATCACATTGCAATATGCATTTCTTTAGTTTAATATTGACAATTCTACACAGATTTACATGCGTGTTTGCTCTTTATGATTGTTTGAAAAATTACTCTTGGTTAAGCCTCAGTGAGCATTTTTTTAAAAAATCATATTGCAGAGAGAGTAGCAGAGTTATGTACCTCATGAATTTTCAGGTAGAAGGTCCAGAAGTTTGTTTTCATGGTTTTCTAAAAGTCACAAATCAACTTGACTTGAACTTACTCGACACTCTGCAGAGGGCAGGGGATTTGTAGGGTTAGGGATGGGAGTGGGGGTGTTGAAGGATTTCCAGTCAAGATATCAGATGGTCCTGCTGAAATTAATAGAACATCCTAAAGTTTTCTTTTGCAGGATTCCCATTACCCAGCCTTCAAGAGTTGGATTTGAGCTATTTACCCTTTTTTCTCACACAACTGCCTCCAACACACCTGTCCTCAAGGGTTCCATTCTAAGCCAGACTCCTGTTTGGACAGGAAAGAAGAATTTATCGTCCCCTTTAACTTCACATATGAACACTAAAGAAATTTGGACCTTTTAATTGCAACCACATAATAGACAACTATGGCCAATCTCCCCAGTACCTCCCTAGGACTTCAAAGTTCAATTGTGTGCAAAAAGATGCTAAAGTCTATCACTGTTTGTGATTTCTGGATCAAGTGGAAATAAAGATTTTGTTCTCCTCCAAAATTAGTTTGCTGCACCACAGGGATTCTTTAGTCAGGCACTCACCAACTGACATTTGTCAAATTATGCTACATGAAACAGCGAAATAATTTGAAGTGGCAAGTTCAGCTCGTTTTTTTATTCATTCAAATGCACTGATGCAATCAGTTAGAAAATTGTGAAATTCGTGTGTGCAAGAGATTTTAATTTTGCCAAACAAATGTTAAGGATATGTCAGTGATTGGATACGGATATATCAGCATTAACCTTGACAACTCTGTAGTCTGCCAGGCCATGGAATGCAACCAGATTGACATGACTCGGGCATTGCAGTCTTGCCACGCCAAATACAGCCCCAACATTGTTTTCACAGAATCACTACAGAGCAGGAGGTCATTTAGCCCACCTCTCCAATAAGCATCACACGAGACACCTTTTTTGGCACCTTTCTCCCTAATCCTGCACATTGTTTCTTTTTAAATTTAGGTTTCTTTGCATCTCTAGTTAATTCTTGTAATATGCAAGAACAATTTCTTTAGATTAATATTAATTTTAGGATGCTAGTTCACAACAGCAGGAGTAAAATGAAGGTTGATCTTAAAATGCATTTTGTCTAGGTGCTCTAAACGTAGCCAACTATTTTTATTTCAAGAAAAAAAAACGGACCCAGATTACTTTTGCCCTTAAATCTTTAAATTCAGGCCACACACTTTTTTCCGATTTAATTTGTAATGATAGGATTTTCTGTTGAAAATCAAGTAAAAGGTGTTATGAAAATGAATTTTGAGGGCTTCAGTACAAGAGGAGCATGCTGATGATACAAAATGGAATATAGGAACTGTACTAATTACTCATTCGTGCTACATTGGCATAGATAACGTTAGGATATAGGGAAAAGAAAAGTGAACAAATTAATTGCAAGGCAGAATGTTGCAAGAATTAATGCCATCTGATAATTCTGTAGAAGTTGGACTTGTAATAACATTACTATAGTTAATTGATGGATACATTCCAAAGACCCCATTCTGACAGAAACTCCATGCAATTCTATTGAACTTGGGATAGCACTATAGATGGCTCCATAAGACATAGCAGAAGCAGGACATTCAACTCAAATCTACTCCACCACTCAATGAGATCGTGGTTGATCTGATCATCCCCAACTCCACTTTCCTGCCTTATCCCCCTTAGAGTTAAAAAAAAGTCAGCTTGTTTCAGACTTGAATATACTTAACAACCCAGTCACTAAAGCCCTCTGCAGAAAAGAATTCCACAGACTCACTACCCTCCAAGAGGAAAAGTTGCATCTCATCTCCATCTTAACTGAGCAACACGTTACTGATATTTTTGGCCTCTGCTTCTAGACTGTCCCACAAAGGGAAACAACATCTCAGCACCTACCCTACCATGCTGAAAAATCTTATTTGATTCAGTAAGATCTCCTCTTATTCTTCTAAACGCCAATAAATACAAACCAACCTACTCATCCTCTCCTCACAAGAGAATCCCTTGGAACCCAGGATCAACTGAGTGAACCTTCCATATAATCTCCAGTGTCAGAATATCTTTCCTTATATAAAGGGGGCCAAATTTATTCAAAATATTCCAAGTGTAGTGAAACAGTGCCTTGTACAGTTTTAACAAAAAGTTGCCCATTTTTATACTCCATTCCCTTTGAAATAAAGGCCAACAGTCCATTTGCATTCCCTATTATCTGCTGAAATTGGATGCTAGCTTTTTGTCATTTATGCATCCCCAATCCCTCTACGCTACAGCTTTCTGAAGATTTTCTCCATTTAGATAACAGTCAGCTCCTCTATTTTTTCTGCTAAAGTGAATAAGCTCACGTTCCCAGATTATATTCTATCTGCCAATCGATTTCCACCCCCCCACATGCCTCTGCAGACTATTTGCATCACCTTCATCACTTGCCTTCCCGACTATTTTTGTCTTATTGGTCAACTGTGTGATAGTATATTCACCTCCTGCATTCAAGTCATTAATGTATATTGTCAATAACCGCGGACACAGCACTGTTCTTTATGACACTCTCCTAGTTACCCAGCCTGGACATTGTCTACTAAGGCAAAGACGATAGGCACATCTGCTTCCATCGATAAATCCTGTTTAATTGTTCCACCATCAGTTCTGGAGCAAGGTAATTGAGTCAGAATAATAAAGTTTGCATGGATCTTTAGTTGCATTCAATGAGAAGTTTGCTCAAAGCTGAGTTTGCTGATGCTGCAATCGTGGATGGCGCACTCTCACATGTAGTTGCAGTGCCAAAATTTCAGGCCCTGACTGCATCAAAAACGGCAGAAATGAAACTCAGCTGGAAAGACCTTTAACTAAAAGCTGTAAACAATGCTACATCTTCTCAAGTAAAGAAATAATTTTTTAAAGAAACAACACTAATGGCAAAACGTGCTGCTTCACTCCCTAACTTCTGGGGGTGTGTGATTAGATACTGTACAAGACGGCTTTCACTGAATAAAACCAGTGCTTGTGACTGGGCAACAAGCGAGAGGTGGTGATGATGCAACTGCACATTGGATGGCACCAGCACAATCCAGTACTGACACCAACTGACCATCAGTAGTAGGGGAAAATGGGCCCACAAAAGAACACAGCAGACAGAACAGGAGTAGAGAACAGCAACTAGCATCTGTATGGTTGATGTCAGGAGTTACAGTGCTTATCTGAAGATTTCAAACAACAACTTTCGTTTATACTGGTGAAACGGTGAGTGAAGAATGAATTGGAAATAATGGAATTTGACAATAGGAAGAAAACAAAAAGTGCATGACAGACCTAGCATAGAACTGAGACGTCTGAAACCTCTGCCATTAATGGGGAAGCAAGGTACAGGGCCAGGCCAGGTAATGTGAAGAGATATTGAAATACTGATTCACAATATTTCTGGACTGAATAGTCCATTCTTGTTGTTATTGTGGGGGTTCAGCTGAATTTGAGGTTTAATGGCACTCTTAACTTGAAGATCAATTGTGAACTTCCATTTTACACAATTAGGACATCCCTCAGATGCAATCTCTGTAGTCTTGCGTAGCCATTTAAAGAGAAGGGCCCCATTCTGCTATTTAACTATGCTTCCTAGATTGGCATCCTTTGGGTAGAAAATGATAGATCCTGCTTTCCTGATATACATCAGCATTGCCTGCCTTATCCAGTCTAACACAATTCACAAAAAAAACATGCAAGTTTAAATCAATGCAACATTACCTGCTAGCAGCTGTCGAAGAGTCTTTAACTTTCTTGCCTTCCAATGAAGCCAGATGCTGTTCTAATGCATCAAGAAGGCTACTTGGTGCCTATAATATTAGAGCAAATGTCAGCTACAAAGATTGAGCAGTGAACTTTGTTCTTAAATAGATGCAGATCTTCAAGTCCTTGGCACAATCAATTAATTGGTGCAGCCTGATACAATTTTTCCTCGTTGTCAAGGTATCCAAAAGAATTACTACTTCAAATTACTACATTTCAAAGTTCTGTGAAATGAAAATAAAACAAAGCTATTCTAAAACAAAATATCATTAACATCAACATTGTTATCAGGACATTCTGATTTTTCAGGTGAAAACAGTTTCAAGATTTTAGTAGTACTGATAATTCTATCCGAACAAACTACTGCAGTTCTGTTGCTGACTTTATCAAATATTTTTAATTCACTTTAACAGTATCTCACGTAAATTTTCTTTTACCATTGAAAAAGATAGCCAAAACAAACTTAAATGCCTCAAACCAACCATTTTTATTCAAATTACCTCAGCACCAGAGGCAATTCGTAATTTTCATACAAAACCAACACAAGCAGTGCAATATTTCAAGGGGTCTGGGTGCCTGCGCCTGCTGTCAGGATTTTTTGCAGCTTTTGTAGCTGCACTAAATTTTATGCTTGGCCACTGGGAGGTTTAACACAGAAACATTGAAGATAGGAGCAGCAGTGGGCCATTCGACTCTGAGCCTGCTCTGCCATTCAATATGATCATGGCTCATCATTTGAGCTCAGTACCCTAATCCTTTGATCCCTTTAGCCACAAGAGCTATATCTACCCACTTCTTGAAAACAAAATATTTTGGTCTTAACCACTTTGAGACAGTGAATTCCACAAGCTCACCACTCAGTGAACAGATTTCTCATCTCAGTTCTAAAAGGTTTACCACTTCACCTTAAACTATGACCTCAGGATCTGGACTCCCCACCACTGGAACATCCGTTCTGCATGTAAGCTATCCAATCCTGTTAGAATTTTATAGGTTTCTATGAGATACCCTTCCCTCATTCTTCTAGCCTCCAGTGAGTACAATCCTAACAGACTCAATCTCTCCTTATACATAGTCCTGCCAACCCAGCAACCAAGTTGGTAAACATTTGCACACTCCCTCTATAACAAGAACATCCTCTCTCAGACAAGGAGGCCAAAACTGCACACAATATTCCAAATGTGGCCTCAGCAATGTCCTGCAAAACTGCAAGAAATCCTTGCTTCTGTACATGAATCCTCCTGCTATGAAGGCCAAGATATAGTTTGCCTTCTTTACTATCTAAGCACTTACTTTCAGCAACTGGTGCACAAGGACACCCAGGTCTTGTCGTGCATTTCCTTCTCACAATTTACAGCCATTCAAATAACAATCTGCCTTCCTATTTTTGCTACCAAAGTGGGTAACCTCACATTTATTCACATAGTGGATATGCCATGCATTTGCCCACTGTCAATCACTTTTCAATAATTTACTCATCAGTCTCCTGCCATAAATTTTGTGCCAAGAAATTAGTGCTAGAGAATTTAACAGGAAATTAGCAAGCTATCAGGATACATAAAAGCAGACAAAGCTTTGACAAGCACATAAAAAAAGGAAGAGACTGTATCAGAAATAAGTATTGGTCCCTCAGAAAATAAGGTTAGAAACTTAATAGGTGAGGAGCAAGGAAATGGCAGAGCTTTGAACAAATATATTGCATCTGTCTTCAGAGCAGAAGACCAAAAAAACCAAACAAATGAAGAAAATCAACAGGCTAAAAAAAAAAAAAAAGTGGACCTCAAAAGTTGAGCAGGGCAATAACCACAGTGGGGCAAGAACCAGTGTGACAGGAAGGGACAAAGAAGGGACAGAAGATACAAGTGTATGTCAGCAGACCAGAGTGTGATTAATTTTCAAAAGATTTAAAGTCCTGTATTTGAATGAATTTGGCATTCATAACAAAAGGAAAATTAGCACAGATATAAATATTGATAACTTGATAGACATTACAAAAATAGATAGAAGGTCACCAATACTGGCATTGACAGACTGGAATGAAAGGTAGCTAGGAAAAAGTGGTAAAGTAGCTCTGCTCATGAACTGAATCATCAAGATATACAATCATTTTAATGTATAGATATAAATAGTAAAGGCAAGAGATCACTTGTGGGATGAGTTTAAAGGCTGACCCAAGAGTAGGACAAAGCTTACATGAAGAAATAAATACAGCACACGAGAAATGTACCACAATAACTTTAAACTACATGGAAATTGGGAGAATCAGTGTGAACAAGGTAGCCTGCAAAACGTGGCCAGTGTTCCCAAAACAATTGCATACAGCACTATCTTCTCAAGCCAGCCAGTGAAGAAGTCATCCAAGATATCCTAATGCACATTTAGACAGTCAAACATGTCTACGTTGAACATAATTCAAACTAAACTAGTTCCACCTGCCTGCTCCTGGCCCATATCTCTCCAAACCTTTCCTATTCACCTAATTATCCAAATGGTGCATTTGTACTCACATTCACAGCGTCCTCAGGAAGTTCATTCCACGCACTAACCACCCTCCATGTAAAAAATTTACTTGAGTCTTTAAATTCCCTCCTCTCACCTTAAAATTGTGCCCACTAATCTTGAAATCTCCCATCCTGAGAGAAAGACAATTAACACTAACTCTATCAAAACCACTTATTATTTTAGGAGGTCACCTCTCAATTTCCTACGCTCCATTGAAAAACATCCAAGCCTATCCAGCCTTTATAACTCAAACTTTCCATAGCCACCAACATTCTGGTAAACCTCTTCTGAACCCTCTCCAGCTTAATAATATCCTTCCTGTAGCTAGGTGACCATAACTGGACACAGTATTCCAGAACAGACCTCACCAATGTCCTGTACAACCTCAACTTGACTTCCCAACTCCTGTACTGAAAAGGACTGAGCAATGAAGGCTAGCCTAATAAACATCATTTTAACCACCCTCTCTATACGTGACGTAAACTTTAAAGAATTCTGTCCCTGCACACCTACATCCCTGTTCTACAACACGAACCAAAGCTGTACCATTAATTGTATAAGCCCTACTCCTGTTTCATATACCAAAATGCAATACCTCACCATTTATCCAGATTGAACTCCATCTACCATTTTTCAGCCCACTGACCCATTTGATCAAGATCTCTCTGTAATCTTAGAAAACCTTCACTGCCTATGATGCCATCAATTTTGGCATTGTCTGCAAACTTAATAACCACACCATTTATATAAATGATTTGGATGAGAATATAGATGACAAAACAGGATGCAGGCCAATTCCTATGGAACACTGCCGGTGTTTTGAGAAATATCCTTCCACCATCACGCTGTCCCCTGCCGTTAAATCAATTTATGTACCTAATTGGCAAACTCACCCTTAATCCCATGTGATCTAACTTTTCTAATTAGTCTCCTATACGGAACGTGTCAAAGGCTTTACTAAAGTCCAATCAAACAATGTCTGCTGCTCTGCCCTCAATCTTTTTGGCGAGTTCCTCAAAAAAAAACTTAGTCAGGTTTGAGAGAGAATTTTCCCTCACGTAAAACCATACTGAACATCCCTAATCAAATTTTTGCCTCTCTAAATGTCACTAAATCCTATCTTACAAAATCACCTCCAACAATTTACCCCAAACTGAACTCCGGCTCATAGGTCTACAGTTCCCCAGTTTGTCCTTATAACCTTTCTTAAGCAAAGGTAAAACATTGGCCACCCTCCAGTCATTAGTCACCTCACCCATTGTTACAGATGATGCAGTCATCAAAACACAACAGAACTTCAGGTTCAATGAGAAAGAGAAAAGTGTGACTCCATAACTAATGTTTCAGACCGGGGACATGAAGTCAGAGCTGGCTAACATGAACTGGGAAGGTAGGGCCAGAGTTGTAGGGACAGGCTTTAGGGAGGTATTTAATAAGGCCCAAAGAGTTATCCCAGCAAGACAGTGAGGGTCCTAAGAAGAAAACACCACCCTTGGTTAAATAAGGAAGTTAAGCATGGTATTGTATTGAAAGAAACACTGTACAAATCTGCAAGGATTAGTGGTAGGTCAGACAATTGGACAGATTTTAAGAACCAAAGAACATACAGTAATGTATATGAAGTACAGAAACAGTATGAGACAAAGCTAGATTGTAATAAATCAAACAGATAGTAAGCGTTTCTATAAAAATTTGATTAAGAACAAAAACCAACTAAAGCTAGTCTTGGTGCTCTGGGGAATTGATAACAAGGAAACAAAGAAATGGCAGAGACTTTGCATAGGTACTTTTCATCTTTCTTCAAGGTGACTGGGAGGAACGAACTTAAAACGATCACTATCACGAAAGTGTTAGAAAGCTATGGTACCTAAAGGCAGGCATGACCCCAAGGCTTGATGGCGTGCATCCAAGAGTCTTAAAAGGAAGTGACAGCACAGATAATGGACGCATTAGTTATAATCTTCTAAAGCTCCTTGGATTTTAAAAGGGTCCCAGTATATTGATAAACAGAAAATTGACATCTTTATTCAGTAAAGGATGAAGGCAAAAGATAATAAACTCAGCCAATGAACCTAACATCCATCACAGAGAAGGAACAGACCCTTCAGTCATCCTACACTCCAAAGAAAAAAGTCCCAACCAATCATTAAAGTACATACGTTAACAATACAAAGTCAAGATAGAACTTGCTTACAATGCAACATATAAGCAAGCACTTTCCTATACTAACCAACATTAAAAGATTACTACCACTCGGCTTGGTTTATAGCAGGATACTAAGAATAAAATCACAATTTGATCAGGTTTGAGAAAGGAAATTCACGTTTAGCCCATCTATTAGAGTTTTTTGATGAAGTAACATTCACAGTAAACACAAAGAACCCGTAATATGTGGTGTGCACTTGGACTTCCAAAATGCATTTGATAAGGTGCCACGTGAAAGGTTGCCGCACAAGATAAGGTGCCGGGGTAACACATTAACATGGATAAAGGATCGGAATTCTATTTCCCAGAAGTTAGCGGGGGCCGAATCTATTCCAAGCAGAGTCAGATAGATTTGAGATAGTCAAGGATGAGACAAGAAAGCAAAGATGTTGTCAACAACAGACCAGTCTTACCCTTGTTTAACAGTAGAGCTGACTCAAAAGGGCCAAATGGTCTACTCCTGCTTGCAAGGCCATTTTCTCACGTTATCAGCATTATCTCACAGGAAAAAATACTAGAGAATTGAAAACCGAGTCCTTTGGACAGTGACCTGACTACGTAATTTTTTTTAAACAAAGTGTGTAATGAAATTCTTTTATTTTTCATTTTGAATAATAAATATCTGCTTTAACGTTGTACTCCTTTATGTATACGAGAGCAGTAACTTGGCAAATTTTGATTAATACAGTTAAAAATGGGTCTATCACCAGGAAATAAGCATTCTAAAATCACAATGTGGGTCCAGCACCCACATCTAACCGGGTTTTAAATGAATGAAAGCAACCTCTAAAGATATACAAAGGCATTTTTCAGTTACATTAGGGGTCAATTCTCTAGTAAATAAACTAACGTTCGAACAATTTTGTTTAACAGTGTTCTGCATCCAAAATACCCAGCTTAATCTTTTTGAAGCAAAAACAGAAATTGCTAGAAAAGCTCAGCATGTCTGGCATCATCTGTGAAGTTCTTTCAGTTTTTATTTTTTGAGGTTCAAAGGTCTGCAAATGAATGCAATTAGCAGAAACACTTCAGATTAATTCAGCCTGGGCAGAGCACTTTTATGACCACAGCTTGCTTCTCAGCATAATGTTTTTAAAACTAGTATAAAAAAATCATGGCAATTTCAGGTGCAGAGAGAACAATTCGTACTTAGAACATTGCCAACATTTGCGCCAGTTACGCCAATTTTGGCAGAATTATGCTACAGGTTTATTTTCAGAATCTGAATTACATGACATATTTCAAATTCTGTGACAACTATTATGAATCACAAGTCTGCATATTATGGTCAGTTGGCAAAACACAAGATTCTTAACATCAAGATCTTGGTTGAGTCTCACTGTTATGAAGTCATCCTTGATCAAGGGACTGCCTAAAAACAAATGGATCACAATCTACTAATCTGCTCAAACGAACTGAAAAACTGAGTAATAATGTACTGATAAAAGAGGCGCCTACCTGAGAAAGGTCTGGTATGTCTCCCCTGTCAATTCCAACTTGCTGTGTTTAACAAAGAATACCATAGTTATAACAATAATATTTGCCAAATTTTGTAGTTTTAAAAAAGGCTTGCAGTTCAAAAGAAGCTTACTTCTGCAACTTTGAGGAATTCAGAGATCCTTGTCATTCTAGTAAGGAACTTTTTGTATATATCAAGAGCCTCCTTGCACTGGTTTTTCTTCATGTCGAAATATTTCTCTAGTAGAGAAAGATTAAACATGTAAACAAATTAAATGCATGTTAAACAAAATGTTAACCTTCTCAGGCAGATTATGCAAGTGCTTACCAGCCACACTTTCAGGTTCAAGTTTCAGTATTAGTCAGAACTTGAGCCCATCACCTAACGTTTAGTCTAATTTTATCAGGTTCCCAGAGAGAACATCCTGCCATTGAGTTGGGCACTACCTCAAAATGAGCATCAATTGATGATTCAGAGATAGTGGAAACTGCCGATGCTGGAGAATCAGAGATAACAAGGTGTAGAGCTGGGTGAACACAGCAGGCCAAGCATCATCAGAGAAGCAGGAAAGCTGACGTTTCGGGCCTAGACCCTTCTTCAGAAATTTCTGAAGGGTCTAGACCCAAAACGTCAGCTCTTCTGCTCCTCGGCCTGCTGTGTTCATCCAGCTCTACACCTTGTTATCTCCATCAATTGATGGTTCTTTCCTTTTGGACAATACAACACTACTTCTGGTCAGCCAAACTTTCAGCAATACCGATTTATGAATACAAAGTAATTGATAGAATAAAGACAGATAAAAATATTTTTAGAATACTTCAGCATGTGTGGATGGGTTGGATTTGTCCTACCTTTTATGTACAGGACATACTTGGGCAATTTTCCACACTGTCAGGTAGGTGCCACTGTAACTGTACTGGAAGAGCCTGGCTAGGAGAGCAGCTCGTTCTGGAGCACTATTGCTAGAATGTTGTCGGGGCCTATAGCCTTTTCAATATCCAGTGCCTTCAACCTTATATGCAGCCACTCCACAAACTCAGGAACCATGGAGGTAACAAAGATGAACTTTGTCCTATCTTTGTCTCAATTATTTCTTTTTATAATTTCTAATTAAAATGGCACTGAATTGAGGCAACTTATACACCTGTTACCACACTTTCATAAATTCAAGTGGCGATAAATCGCCATTCTATTGTACGTTAAATGGGGTGAATCAAATTAGTTGACAACTGGTATCAGAAATGCTGGAGACCACTGGAGACGCCAAGATGGATCATCCACTTGGCACTTCTGGCTGAAGATTGCTGCGAATGCTTCAGCCTTATCGTTTACACTGAAGTGTTGGGCTTCTTCGAGCATTAAGAATAGGGATATTTGTGGTGCCTCCGCTTGCAGTGAGTTATTTAATTATCCACCACCATTCCTGGCTGGATGTGACAGATCTGCAGAATTTACATCTGATCTATTGGTTGTGGTTTGCATGGCTCTGTTTATCACTTGCTGCTAATGCTGCTTAGCACGCAAGTAGTCCTAATCAGTAGCTTCGCCAGGTTGACATCTCATCTTCAGGTATGCCTAGTGCTCCTCCTGGCATGCCCTCCTGCACTCTCCATTAAACCAGGGTTGATCCCATGGCTTGATGCCCATGGTCGAGTGGGGGATATGCCAGACCATAGGGTTGCAGGTTGTGGAGTACAATTCTGCTGCTGTTGATGGCCCACAGCACCTCATAAATGACCAGTCTTGATCCGATCAAAGCCTGTCCGATTTAGCATGGTGATAGTGCCACACAACAGGATGGAGGCAATTCTTAATATAGAAGGTGGGACTTTGTATCCACAAGGACTGTGTGGTGGTCACTGCATCTGCAGCTTGACCTCATCCTTACCAAGTATGTTTTTCCCTCATCGGTTTCCTCACCACCTGCTGCCGACCCAGTCTAACTCAAATCAGCAGTGCTGCTGCTGAGCCACTCTTGGTGGTGGACTTTGTAATTCCCCACCCAGAGTACGTTTTGCACCCTTACCACCCTCAGTGCTTCCTCCACGTATTGTTCAATATGGAGGAGTATTGATTCATCACCGGAGGGAGGACAGTACATGGTAATCAGCAGGTTTCCTTGCTCATGTTTAACCTGATGCCATGAGACTTCCCGGTGTCCGAGTCAATGTTGAGGACTCCCAGGCAATTTCCTCCCAAATTTATACCACTGTGCCACCACCTCTGCTAAGTCTGCCCTGCCAGTGGGACAGGACATATCCAGGATTGTGATGGTGATGTCTGGGACGTTGTCTGTAAGGTATGATTCTGACTGTATTACTATGCCACGCAGTTGCTTGACTAGTCTGTGAAACAGCTCTCCCAATTTTGCCACTAGCCCCCAAATGTCAGTGAGGAGGACTTTGTAGGGTAACAGTAAGTGTTTCTCTTGTTGCCTTTTCCAGTGCCTAAGTTGATGCCAGGTGGTCCACCCACTTTCATTTTTTTGTTGAGACTTCATAGCATTGATACAACTGATTGGCCATTTTAGAGGGTAAACGAGTGTCAATGACATTGCTGTGGGTCTGGAGTCACATGTAGGCCAGACCAGGTGAGGATAGCAGATATCCTTCCCTGAAGGGCATTAGTGAATCAGATGGGTTCTTCCAATAACCGGCAATGATTTCATGGTCATCAGTAAATTCTTAAAACCAGAGTTTTTTTAAAAAAAATTCAAATCCTGTGACAGGATTCAAATCACATCCCCAGAACATTTGATGAGTTTCTGGATTAACTGTATAGCGATAATACCACTAGGCCATTGCATCCCCCTTGTGACTTCAACCCAATCTGACACTTGATTTACAAATATATTTCAGAGGTTTGATTTTACACACACACACACAAAGGTAAGCTCAAGATATTCAAAACTATTCATGCAAAATTTAAACTACCAAGTAATACAGTTCTACTTAAGCTGTTTGAATGAAAAGGGTGGCCAAATTACAAAAACAGTAGTGAGAACTGTGAGAAACTGTAAACTTTAAATCATTCAAATCACTCTGTATCTGAATTCTTTATATGGATAAATAATTAAACTCAATTTAAATTCAATGAAAATTCCTTCATAACGTAACAGCCTTTTTCAGCATTAAAGAATGCATAACAACTTTTTTTTTTTAAATTGGGAAAAAAGAGGTTGCGATGAGCAAATTCATGCTGTGATGTAGAGTTCCCACAGAGGTCATGTCTCTGCTTCTGAGCCGGAAGCTCAAAGTTCCCACTCTGGGAGTCAATGGCCACAGAAGTTGCATTCATAATGCAGCCAAACAAGTTGATTATCAATACGCAAATTCTTCCACTACACGTATGACAGCTTGCAAAAAGCAGGACAGTCTCCTGGTCAGCCATGCTTGATATGCAGCAGCATCCCATAGTTTAAAGAATCTGAGTGCAGATTTGCAACCTGTCTGGGGAAAAACTAGCTTTGGAAATGGACATTAGTGTGTGCTCTACCTCATGTGCCACAAGGCACAGGACAGGACAAAAGGAAGTTTGGATGTAGAGTTTCTAAATAGCTACTCAGAACAATGCTAGCCTCCCCTGAACAGTGTATTTACTGTGCTACTCAAGGTAAAGAATTACATTTAAAAACAGCCACTCTGTCATTGCTTTCATTGGCAACACTTGACTCCTGATGATTGACTGCAATGTCTGATGGAACTTGCATTCTCTCCCATTTCCCTTCCAAATTGTTCAAACTTGCAAGAAAAGCTCAGCACCCAGTTTTGTGAATCTCATAAATGCTGTGTGCAATAAAGTGATTTAACAGATTTCATGAGGTATTCAATATTTGTAACAAAATACCAGTAACATAAAAAACAAGATAATCATTTTGGAATCAGCTCCAGCGCTGCAGTGTGACCAGCTCGAACCTAAATCTGAATGTGTCATATGCCCTGCTCATTATAAAATGTTATGCTTATTAGCTTAGGAATGAAGGAGATAAAGCAAAGCTTCAAACAAAGTTTCGTAAATTATATCACTTGTACGATTTTCTTACACATGGAACTACGAATTCACAACTACAATAGCATGTTGTTTAATGCCAAACATTATGGCAACAAAATACTCAAAATACTAGTCTCCAAACTTCCAAAAGAACCTCTAAAAACAATTAGGCATAGAATTTGCACGTAGGAGAGAATTAGGCCCACAGGACATGGAACTCCCTGCTCATGTGAACTTTGAGAGGAAAAGAATGTGCTGAATCATAGAAATACCACAAAGTGCTTCAAAAAAGCAAACACAAATGCTGTGGACATTAGAAAACAAAGCCATTCAGAATTGCTGCCTATTTCTTTTCCTTGCCAAAACTGGTTTCATTGCACTCTTGAGGGCACGAGGTTCACTGGGAAACAATTTTTCCACACACAGCAGCTCAATACTTGACTAAAAACAATCCTACATGTCTGGACCATGATTGCCAGATGATTTATTAATTTGGAAGGGCAGTGCTGAAATCAGTCTATTTCAAACCTATCTCCTTTTACAAACACTGGACTGTACTTAAGAGGCAATAAGAATCTTGGCTCTCAGCTGAAGAATAACAACTTTTTTTTTGGGAAGGCCCACCAAACATTTAACTGGATACGCACATATCATTGCTGAAGCCCAGGCCATGGCAGAATACTAGTAGGAGGGGAGTTGTAGGGTACTGTTGGGATGCAGGGGATTGACAGTGGAGCTGGAGGAGTAAGCCTCCGCATAGACCCAAAATCCCTGATGCCTAATCCCTCAATCAGGCACAAAGCATCTTTGAGCAACGAGATTCTTTCATAGAAAGAAAATCTTTCATATTATGAAATCTTGATGTGTCATTATTTCAGCTCATAACTAGGAGTTTGAAATTCTTTCAAAAGTGAATTGGTTATTAATAAGGTAAAATCATTGATGATGCACTTGTCCAATTCCATCACATACCTAAGTGACTATGTGAGATAACAAACAGGCTTTGGCGGGTCAAGAGAAAATTTAGTGTGTCACAAAATTCCCAGGGTCTGACGTATTCCTGTGGCCACAGGACAGATATGGCATCACCAGTTAGGTTTCCGGTCAATGGTAAGCCTCAGGACGTTGATGGTGGGGAATTCAATTATGGTAATGCTGTTGAATATCACTGGAGATTCTCTTGATTCTCTTGTTGGAGATGACTATTCCCTGCCCTTTGTTACACAAACGTTACTTATCCTTTATCAGC